CGAGCGCGCGGAAAGAAGGCTCTGTCTCTCGGTGTATCTCGAATCTTGGGAAAGTGAATTTTCACCCGAGCTGTATATCGAATTTCAAGATAGCGGAACGGTCGAAGAGGGAAGAAATTATCGATGTACTTGTCACCTATCCCTCCATTCTGGAATTTTCGAAAAATGTCTGCAAACGGAAACGATGCGAAAATCGGAAAGGTACATACGCGCGTACTTCTTGCCGATTAAACGGTCGACTCGCAACGAAGTGGAATTCGCGATTGATAGAGCAAAAAGAGACGAGAAATAAAAGAGGAATAAAAATACTTATTCCTCGAATAACCATCACTCTTCTCAGACACCGGCTACAGTGATTGAGTGAATAAAACGACGAAGTATTTCTCGCTGACCCGTGACGAGAAGATTTATGATAAATAATGACAGAATTACAGGATGTACCACTTCGCGAAAGACGCTATCTCGACCCGGATGGTAAATCGAAATCATGCAAAACTCCGAATTAATTACGCGCGTAAGTACCTCCCTCGATCACCGGCTCGCGTAAAATCCCACGGACGAGGAACGTATTGGACTTTTTGCGTCGCATTAAATGAGATTACGAGATTTCCCGTCGATAGCTCTCGCGAATACTCCGCAAGGACACGTTATTAAATATTCAATGGTGATCGCGCGGGATTTATTACCTCGCGAGGGGCCGGCTTGAAAAACGTTATTGCCCGGCGGCGTCCAATATGACCGAACTCCGTGTCCGTGGGAAAATATTCCGAACAAGTTCGAAACTCGGGCGGTGACCGTCACCGATGCGAAAAATGAAGGAAGAAACGTTGTATAAGGGGATGAAAAGGAGAAGCCGATACATCGCTCGGTCGGACAAGGTGGACATCGCGACGGAAAAGAGAGCGGGGAGAAAAAAGGAGGAAAGCCTGACGCGACGAGAAAGTTTCGTACGTATGGTCGATGTATAGCGCGACTCTGATGGAACCACATCCGAACTTGAAACAAGTTCGGGCCCCGGCGGGCCCCATTACGAACCCCGATCGAACTTTCGCGATTCTCGGAGCGCTGAGCTTCGCGGCTCGGTTTCCCCTTTTATCGCTTTGTAATCTTCCTACAGCGACTGTCAAAGGATCATTCGTCCTCACCCTATTCCAGCCTGAGATATTCGTTTTTACTAAAACTTTTCCCCAAGAATTTTCGAATGTGTTCATTTTCTGCAAATTGTAAAGTGAAATAAGTTTGATAAGAATTCGGTGAAATTTGCACTGAGTATACGTTGAAAAATATGATTTAACTGTTCGTGCAATTAGAAGAAGATTGAAACCATTCGAGGGTTGAAATATTTGCAACTAAAGTTGACACTTTTATATGTTCATGGAGATGATTTCCGTAGCATTAATAAGAAAAAAAAAATAATAATATTTTTGTACTTGTAACATTATGCATAGATATTTTCCTCAATTTCGTTCTAAATTAAATTATTTACTATTTATAGATAGTGAAATAAATATATAAAAACGCAATTTTGTTCGATAAATACTAAATTTATGTGTGGCCCCCTTGACTGAAAAGACGACGCTGAGCCTAAGCGAACTCCTTAAGAGTCGTTTCGTTTATCGTCGGCAAAAGTAAAAATAAAGCTGAAAATATCATTACTTGTTTGTATTGGTTGTATCTCGTATTTCAAATTGCGACGGAGAGCGGAAAAACCGCGAAGAAATTCGTCGCGACACTGCGATCGATGAACAATCTCGCTAAAGACCTCGAGAGACCGTCCGGAATGCATTAACCCGAATTAATACGTTTACGTTTCATTTGCGAACTCAATATTTGCCGCGTGATGACGGCGGATAGGCATGCAAATATGGACACTCCTTACGTCATCTAGGTGTGCTAGGATCTATGCGGAAACAAAGTAACGGACTCGCGATATAATCATTCGACAAGCGGCAGAGTGTTCTCCCTTGCGCGTGGGTCACAAGATTTTAATTAAACTTTTCCACAGACCGCGCTTAATTTCAGCTCGATTCATTTGAATGTTAAGTTGTCGGCTCAAATGAGAATTCTCCACCACGATATAAGGTTGAGTGTTTACCTTTCCAGCGGAATGAGTTTTCACAGCCGCCGAGAACTTGGACATTTTGAATCCCACTTCATTTTATTCTTTTCTTTCCGTTTTACTCCCTCGTCAAATTATGCATATTTCCATTCGCGATAAAATGAAAGATACGCGGCACTCGAGAATCGCTTAAACTGTAATTATAATTTACAGATGTTTCGAGGGATCTTTTTGCGTCAACGTAACGAGCGATATGGTTTACAAAATGCGTCATGATTCTCAAGGTGCTCGCTCCCGATAGCGCCGGATACTTTAATCGCTCCTTTGCATCTTCGGGTGGGATACAACGGATGGCAAAAAACAAACTGCACAACACTTATCTGTCTCACCTCCCTTCCTTCCCCCCTCTTTGTCTCTGTCTGCCGCGCTTTTCCACGCGGAAACTTTGTTTGAAAAGCATCTCACGATGCCGTGGAAACTTGCGTTACTGTTCAGCCGTGAGCGCCATAGGTTGCTCTTCCGGTCACTTGCCGGTCTACGTGCTCGAGATACGCGAACGGCTTTTTCGAACGTGATTAGGATTCATGCGGTCGCCGGCCCCGAAGATGAACGGTCGCGAAACGTACGTGCTGGTCGCGCGTAAAATCGCAAAGTGGGTCAAAAGCTTGGCGCGGAAAAGTCATCCGCGAAGAAATATTTCGATTCGCGCGAGTATCTTCGATCGTTAAAGTTTTGGAATTTGCAAATATTTCCAAATTTCTCTCTGCCTGAAATTTCGTCAATTCCTGCCGATCCGCCGTTGACGATATTTAATCGCTCGACCGGTATACTTTTCGGCTCCCTCGCAGTCTCCCACATCCATTTTCCACGAGCCCTTTTCCTCTTCGCTCCTCCCATCCCTCTGCTACTACACTTTTTACAAAACTCGCCCGCACCCTTGCTTCCGGCTCGTTCTTTTCTTCGTGACTGATGGCCGACGATGATGAAGCGACTTGGAAATTTGTACGACGACTCTCCTCCTCTAGCGGTCGATTCATACCGGAGATCGAAAGCGCTTTCTTCGGGACGCTTCGTCCCGAAATAAGAAAACCACGCGCAACCACTCGCTCTCCACGTTTCAGATGCGTGCAGAGTGCTGGATAGTCGTAGCGGATGATCTTCCATTAGTGGAGAATTTTCACAAGTAACGTGTGGCAAAAAATGGTAACTCTCTCTAACCCGGGGAGGAAGAGACACGCCTTTTCACTGTCAAGACCTCGCAGCATGGGGGGGATAGAGAGAACATTTTCCGACCGCGAAATATGTAAATTGCATTTAGCGAATCGCGTTAACACCACCGTGGCAAGCGCGAATGGAAGGAGAAGAGAAGAATAGCATATTTCTTCTTCTTAGATACACAGGCAGATGCGAGCGATAGACTACGCGCTTCCGCGACTTAATGGCCCTTCCCTACGGAGAATCGGTGGAGGAGCGTTCTGCGATTTCACGATTCATTCCACGTCCGCGAGCGCCTTGGAACAGCGAAAGGCTTTTTACCCTCCTCTCGAATTTGCAATATTTCTCTGGATTACGCGGCCGAGTCGGGCCGCGAGATGAAAATTGCTTACTTCTGGAGCGGATTTGGTCTTCAATGAGAGAGAGAGAGAGAGAGAGAGAAGAAGAGAAAAAAAAAGAGAAATCAAAAGATATTTAAGCATCACAATGTGCGGCACCGCACCGTCGCGAGTTATTATTTCCAAGAAAATATTTCATGTTTGAGCTTCTCGTTAAAGAAGATTCTCGTCTTACGGATGTCTACCGTGAATACCTGCTGATAAGAGCGGATATTTCCTTAACGATGCCGCGTGTTTTACGCGTAGATACGCGAGATCCTCCCTCGGGGATTGGGTTGCAGAAATCCTCTCGGGGATTCTCAAAATACCGTGCAATGAAACTACTTTAACAAATGTTATTTTATGCAGTCCTTCTCCACGATAAAGAGGTAAAGATATGGAGAAAATGATAATAAGAACGATAGAGTGAATTAGATTAAACGCGGAGATTTTTAAAGATGAGGCACAGACGTGAACCGTTTGGTGTTTCGGCCACCGAGAGACTTGAAAGGGAGTTTCGGGTGTCAGGCATTATCGAGCGTGTTTCCTCGAAGCGATATAGCCGCGCGCCTTGAGTCGCATCGCCGGTCGATCCACTTGGACGACGAAGAGAAGCCAGGCCCCTCGAAGGCGAGGGAGTCAGCAAATTGGGCCGTCGTGTGTATGCTGTAATAGCTTCGGAGGCTGCAAGGATGCAATAGGTGTGACGCGTTAATCAGAAGCGGTTCCAGCCAGCCACTTGGACGTCGCGCGTGAATCGAGAGGAAGTTCTTCGAGGCGTTGCGTTACGAGAGCGATTAAAAGTTCAATGGTGCGGAGGAATTTTTCTAGTCGGGAATGTAGGAGAGGGTGAGAAGTCCTCCTCGCTGGAATTTCCGGGGGATCCTCTCGACACCGCGCGGCTTTTCCCCGCAGTCTGCGAGAATTCCGCGCATGACAGGCCGCATATTTCCGATCGCGTCTTCCTCCGGAAATGTCGTCCCCTTCCGCGTTCAGGGACGAAGCGCGTCTAATGCGGGAATATTATTGCGCATTTTGCCGGGAATGATAAAGGGCGAACAGACGCTGCGGCGACGCGGTCCGATAAATGGAAGTGGATCCAATTTAAATCGGCGGCCTGTCCAGCTAGGATCGAATGGATCCGCGTTATGAATGGCCTCGTGAGATTTACATTCGGCCCTGCCTCCGAGAGATGGCAATTTGCCTCCGTTCAGTGGGACGAACTCGCGGTGACTTCCCCTAACGACGGACCGATTTCCAGAGCGAAGTGTCGTCCGCGTTTAATTAATCATTACTTTAACACAGCGCATCTGCCCGCTTGTAACGATGGAATTATCGTTTCTTTGCAGTATATGTGTTACCGTTGTCGTCCTCAACGTCCACTTCCGCTCACCGCAGACGCATAAAATGGCACCCTGGGTGAAGAGAGTTTTTATACACATTCTTCCGCGGCTCTTAGTCATGAGGAGGCCACAGTATAAATTCGAAACTAACAGGTTGGTATCGCACGCAATCCTTTATCGGCAGATTCAACGTCTGACACTGAAGAGGAATGGATTTGCAAATTTGCACGATGCATGAGTCGACGATCCGTTCGAGAGAGGAGTTACGTAAAAATGTGATAAAAACCACCGTCAGGGAATTACGTTGCGCACCGTAACAATAACGTTACACGTACTTGAGCGCGAGTTTACCATTCGCGACGTGGCAGCCGCATTAAAATTCCGCACGCGATTGTCTGCGTTCGCAGGTACACTTCCGGCAGAGTGCTAATGAGGACCGTCAGGGGGAAGGAGAAGACCTGCTATTATCCTTACCACCCGTCTACCCAGCAGGAGGACAGCGAGGAGCATCTCACATCCAAGAGATTCCACAGCCGTCCTTCGTCAAAGGAAGACCTCTCGCCTTCCAGGTGTTTATGATAATACGAGACGCTTTGTAATTCTTATATCACGCCTCATAAACACAGCACTCGATGACGCGAATTTGCACGAATTCAAGATAATCGCTTCCTTTAGCAAAACGAAGATGCTATGAGATAAATTGTTACTTTACAACAGGCGCGAAATCATTCCCTGTGTTCCCCTTCAGCCTTACAGACGGTGCGAGGTTCGGCGGTAGCTGCCTGATCCACGGTCCTCCTCTGCCACCCCTGCCGTTGCACACCGAGGATCTCTCGGTTGCCGGGGACGCGGGCATAGAGGAAGTGAAAAGCCCGGTGCTGCGAAGCCCGCCCGCCTTCTCCCACTCTCGCTGCCCGCCGGAAGTGCACAGATCCTGCATCTGCGTGCGTTTCATCGCCGAGCATACCAAAATGCTCGAAGACTCGACCAAGGTAACGGATTTCCCGCGGTAGTACGAGAAAAAGAAGGGATCGATCAATGCCGTGTGCGCAGGTCAAGGAGGACTGGAAGTACGTGGCGATGGTCCTGGACCGGCTGTTCCTTTGGATCTTCACCCTGGCGGTGTTGGTGGGCACCGCCGGCATTATACTGCAGGCGCCCACTCTCTACGACGACCGTGTGCCGATCGACAAGAAGTTCAGCGAGTTCGCCACCACGACGGTGGTGAAGTGCCCGCCCCAGTAGTCCATGCCCGAGCCCTGCACCGTAGAGAAAGACTAAGGACCAGAAGCCCGGACCTAGTCTTAGGAGAGTCCGCGAGCTCCGCTTCCTTATCCTCCTCAACGACGAAATTACGGCAAAAGGGCTCCGCAAGGAACGTTCTCTCGGAAGAAGAACGCGAGAACGTTGATTGATCGGGAAGAGTCGCCTCGAGAGATGAGGCGATTCTCGTAGACCGGAAACGCGACGGACATACGGGATCTCGAGAGATCCCGGCGAAACCTCACGCGCACCTACCATAGTCTGCTCAAGTAAATCGTAAATACGAAGCTGCCACTACTTAATCGGGTAATCTAACACATCAGGCTGACGGACGTTACGGTGTAACGTTGTACAGTAATTTTAGCGCCTCGAAGAACAAGAGAAAAGTCGTTCGCGTATCGTTCCGGTCCAGGTAAGGCAAAATAACGAGCGATGAAGGTTAATTAACTCCAGGCGGTTCTTCTCTCACTGTCCGCCTGATAAATGTATAATCCGTGACGAGGAAGCCGGTGCGTCGTCGTTTCGCACCGAAGGATCAGCAGCGTCGATTTTCCTCGCGTACACATTTTTTATACCGCGACATCGTCGGATGGGTGAGGCGCCGCGACGGCGCGAACGACACGTCGCTCGCATTACTCGAGCTAATTAGTTAAGCACCGCGTAGCTAGCTCGTCGTACACAGACCTAGGGTGTAACCTTACTCGAAGTGTAACCAGTTGATAATTTTAGAGACGTACCCGTTTATACGAGCATATGTATTTAAGAGAGCGACACACGAGCGCGTCGGTTGCGCGAAGTCACCATCTCTCCTCCTCTGAGCACTGCGATTGTTCTTTCCATAAAAGCTGCAGTCGGCAACACTCCTCTTGCGTTGCCCACGCGCTTCATCTTGGCGCTGTAAATACCTTTATTCGTGCGCCTCTTCGTTAACGTTTGCCGCGATTTCGCCCGACTTCATCCTTTTCTCGCATCGCGAGCGAAAAGGCGCGTCGAGGGGGACTCGCGTCGCCGACGCGTCTCGCGTTACCTCGTCCCGATGAAAAGAAGAAAAATATTGTATTTTGTAACGAAAACAAAAAAAACTGAAACACGCGAAATACTACAATAAAGGTAACCGATAGTACGGTAAGAACAAGTAAAGCATACGAATTCTAAAGCTGATAGTTGTAGGGAATTGAACAACCGCTGTTGTTCAATACCGTAGTTCGTGGTCGTTGTCACACTGTGAGTCGTCATTCATGATTTCGCTTTTGTTTTCTCTTCTTTTTAAACAGTTACGCGTCATGTATGATACTTATCATTGTGGTTAAATCGCGTTAGTCGCAATTACGGGCCGTTATACTCGCGAGAACGTAACTTAACGTCGGAGAATCGTGGACAAATGTGTTCGGATCGCCGATTGTACGCGTATCTCGCGGGGAAAATACTTCGAACGGGACGTTCCGTACACAATTCGATTAGCAAAATAAAACACCGAGCACGCTATTAATTTAAACGAGACAGTGTCGTTGCTTCGAGCTGAAAAAAGAGGAGGAAGGACGACCGATTATTCTCTCGATCGAAGCGGACAACCGATTTCTTTCTGTACTGATTTTTCTATCAGAGAGAGAAAGAGACAAACAGATTGACGGTTCGCGATTGATCGCGTGTCGATAACCCTTTTCTCGGTCGACGATCGATACTCACGTCGACGTCCTCGATTCTCCGACGTTCTTAGGACTCCTCTTAGCCGTAACTAACGCGTAATGATTTTCGCGCATCCTAGCAGCAGATATAACGCCATGGTACGTTTTCGATTGTAAATATATTATTACGGTGAGGAATAACGAGATTCCCCCATTACTACTGCCATTAAAGAAAAAAAAGACGCAACGCGCCGGTACTTTAGAGAGCGTTTTCGCGCCGTCACTTGGACGGCTCGTCGATCGTTCGCTCGAGAATAATTTCGGCGTGCGCGATCGTCGTTATAATTCTCGATCGCTGATCTCGCTCGACGTCGTGCGAGTCGAGAAGCAGAGTTGCCCCGCGCTCGGACAATTCTTTTCTCGAAAGATTCGAACGGTCGTCTCTCTGTGCTAGTCGCCGCGGCGATCGGCACCGATCGAGTCTGTCTGTCTATGCGTGTGTGTGTGTGTGTATGAGTGCCGGGATAGAGATGAGCAGAGCATTCCGATATTTCGATAATTACGCCATCACCGCGAAATACAAATTTGTATCAGATTATATTCATCAGCTGATGTATCTCAGTGAAGGGAAAGACAGAAACAAGAAACCGTTCATGCCCATCTCCGAGTACCATCGCCAAGTGAGGTCACGTGCGAGGGTGAGGATACACGCTGATCGCTACCTGATTGAAAATCGTCCAGTGAACCGCCGAAACGCATTAAACTTGTGGGAGGTAAGAGGGCGTGCATTAGGATTGTAGACTCGACGGATTACTCTCCTCTCAGCGGGAGAGCGAAACAAATCTACTCCGCACTAGGTCGTTAGGGAAAACAACGCACACGTTTTCTATGATAGAGCTACGTATTTACTTAATTATTACGAAATAGCGCCGCTCACGCGACACAGCGGCGACACTCGTATCACGAAGATCACGAGGATCGCGGGTGACCTTAGGCTACGGAAGGACGAGAACGAGAGAGAGAGAGAGAGAGACGAGGTGTGAATATATGGGGCATGCAGACTTAGATAATAGATGAGATTAAAAGGATAGGTTTAAGATGTAAATACCGTGTAAATAGCGATGCGTAGCGTTAAGTCGAGAGGCTATATAACAATTGGGCCTTTTTTTTTACAATCTCTTCAGACATACTTATCCCTCCGAGAAAACCCTCTTTAATACACCGACGTCGTACCCCTCTTTGTAACACAACAGTGTGTATTATTTCAGCACCTTCTGAATTATTTCGAGCCTTCATATCGCCCGGATGTGAAAAACACCCTCTCTATCCGATCGGAGAATGGCCGGAAATGATTTTCTACTATCGGGAGAGATAACGACGGGAGTTGGTAAAATAGTTCACTGTGAGCGACGTACTGCTCGCACTGATTACTTTTAACGCATAATGCCATATATGTATATTGAAATACCAATTTATCGTCCGTTAAATTTGATAATGGAATTTTATTAATGAATTAATTTGCAACCTACGATGTCGTTATTTGACTCAAGTGCGCGTGACATTTTTCTATCGCATTTAACAGTTGAGAAAATTCGAAACGCGTGTTGGAAAACACGAAGAAATCGAATAAATGTTTAACGCAGGATCTCTGAAAGATTCGTGTTACTGGAGTTAACGAAGGGATGTGAAAATCCTTGGGAAGACGCGAAAGTTTCCTCGGACAATAGGAGGTTGCTCATACACTCTTCTTGTGTAAAACTCACGCGATTCCTCAAAGCGCGTCACTACGAGAATCGGTTAAAATACCGGCGAGATAAAATATCGCTCCTCGACGTAGAAACGCGCAAATTCGACGGATATGTCGTTTCTATTATCATTTGTATCGGCGCAAATTATTTTACACGATTCCGGATTCGGAAATCGTCGCCGAAATTTGAAGGGAGAGAGAGATTGAGAGTAACCTAATGCGATAAATGCACTTTTCGACACGCGAGCTCGCTCATCGCGCCCGATATTAACGATTCACACGTTACCGTGTCGATATACCGTGTGTTCGCGTAATGCGATAATAGGACGCGTCTGATAAAATTGAATGAATTGTATAAAGACAATAACACATTGAAACCTCTTCGATTGGAGGGATTATTTGCGAAACAAGACGTATCCTCCGAATCAAACTGTTCAGAGGATATCTACCAATAACACGCATAACTGAAACTTTACAAGTAGCTATAATTGATATCCCGCGAGGGATCGATTCGACCATCATATGTAGTTAATATAGAACACCTTCGTGATGTCGATGTGGCGAAAAATGCGACGGAATAATCATACGACGGGGTATCGTGCTATCAATCTCGATCAACAACGGATGCGCCTTGTTTAAGAGATAAGCCCTTTAATTAGAAATCGAGCGATAATGTTTTTATAAGCACGTTGTCTCAGACTAAAGGCGTTCTCTCGGACAACTGGACAACCTCTCGGATGCCATTTCATTCGCGAACGGATGGAATTTAGCGCCAAATGCGGCTCTCGTTCGCCACAAGGGGCGGTTTAGTCGCGTTCGTGTAAAAGCGGCGCGCAACACACATCGCATTTGGCGCTAAATGCGCGACGTATGAAAAATCGCTTCAGCTCCGGCTGAAAACGCCCGGCGATGAACTGCGTGCGGCGACACATATTCGCGAAGAATCGAGAGACTGAGACTTGACGTGTGTTTAGGACCCGGATTTAACAGCCGCCATTAATCTCCAACAGGCCGAGCCCTACCCGAGACGATAAATCATCGCTTCCACCCTTAAACACGTGTTTGATAGCTTGCGAATTCCGTACTTAACGCATTTAACGAGTTAGGCTAATGGGACACGCGTGTAAGGACAACGGTGCAGGCGATAGATGACTGTAAAACGATAACGATATTCTAGCGTGTTATAAAACGAGCGTGTACCGTATACATAGCAATAGAGCGCTATTTAACGTGATGCGAGCCGAGAGAGAGAGTTTAAATATTGGAATAACAATTACCACCGTTAGATATGATTATTATGTATATCGTTTGTTAAATATGTACTTATTATACTAAACGACCGTCGTTCTAAGGCTTACACGATGTAAGGACGAGATTCTTGTTGCTTGGTTTTGTAATCATGCTTGACAAAAGCATACGGAGAAATAAAACTTGTTGTCGTAGAAAAAGCCCCACGCAGTTGTAGACGCGCGCGAGCGTCGGCGATCCGCTCGAATCGATGCGGAATCGTGAAGAGCGGCGGTTCTCCCTTCACCGCGTGACCGGTCAAAGGATCTCCCGGATCAGAGATTCACGTCGAAATCTCCGTGGTGTTGTTCGCCGTTAGCCATTCTTGGACCTCCGGCAAGGACTCCTTCAGCCATTTGATCGCAAAATTAGCGTGCGCCTCGACCATCGCCATCGTGTACCCCACGATCTTTATGGTCTCGTGATTGTCCTCGCTGAAGGTCTGGAACTACGAAGAAACGCCCAAATTACAATCTAAGTTTGTTGAAAGAAGACTCACATTATCGCCCTACAAAAGCGGAGACTAGAGTCTCCATCGAATAATATAAATAATCGGTCGTTGACTGCAGAAATTGCACTTACGTCGTCCAAGTCCTCCTCAGCGGTCAGACCGTTCGTCGTCGCCAGCGCAAAGGCTCTCACGACCGGACGGGATCTAAAGTACAGAAAGAGGGAAGGAGACACGTCATAATCTACTTACAACTTTAGGCAAAGAGCTGAGAAAGTTGCAAAGTACCTCGTGACGATAACATGCCAATTATTTCGCACAAACTTGTAGGCGATTTGCGCAGCGACCGGATTCTGCGGGAAACTTCTTAAAATTCTCAGCGTCTCGTCCTCGCTGTACATCTTACCCTCGAGAAGCTCGCTGAGTAACCTGACATGTATTAACATACATTATACACGCGTTACTCTCATTAAGCTGTGTGTATTTTAATCGGGACTTTTTCCTACAGCTTACTGTACGCAAAATCCAACAATTTTTTGGAAAGTGAAAAATGTGTTTCGCGATCTCGTACTTACGACTGCAAGATCCACGGCGTCTGGAAGCACGCGAACACCGAGAAAAGGCGATTCTTCTCCTCGCTATCCGCCGTGGAGTTCGCCCTCTCAACGAAGTAATTCCACTCGTTTCGCGTGCCGTATCGCGCAATGGTGCAGTATAGAATCTCGCGTGCGTACGCCGGTACGCTGAAACGATCAAAGTTTTATCTCCGAAATGGAGGCCGCGAAATCGAGCCGTTGGAGCGGTAAATTATTCCGATAATGTCTCATTGTACTAAACTCTTTTTCCATTTGCTTCATTGTTCGTTGACGTGGCGCGCGTGACAGATCCTACGTCGAAAGCACCTTGATCGGTGGTATCGGAGTGACACGCACTTCTCGATATTCCACGGAAAAACTTTTCATTTTTGGCTACCGAGTTAGCACCGCGTCCTTTGCGGATTTGTTTCCGACGTTTCGTGAACATTTCAGTTTGTTACTTCGAGGAGAGCAACGACCCGAAACTGTCGCTCCTCCGCAGGAATCCCCTTTATATAGGTGTACATGGGCGATTATTTAGCGGACGGAGTTTGAGTTTCGGTTCGTTCTTCTCCCGGAAGAAATGTTCGCGAAATAAGTTCACGAAGGACGCGGAACTAACTCGGAAGCCAAATTGAGCAAAATAACAAATACTTTCCTCGCGAAATTCCGAATTGTACGTTGAAACAATTTCGACGTTAGACATAAAAAAAAACGCAGCCTCCAGTCACGGGTCGATGGGATTGTTTGAAAAGCGCATGACACATGCGCAACCGCGATGAACCGATCGGAATTCCATCAGCCGGAGTTAACAAAACTTCCGAATGAAAAAAAATATCGTATAAAAGCTAACGTGAATTGAATCACGTTACCGTCAGTTACGATACACGGTTGCGCGCGAAAGACAAATATGAGGAAGCTTACACTTCGTCCGCGTCGGAATGGTCCTTCAGTTTGGCGAAATGATTCTTAGACCACTCGAGGCATTCTGCATTCTCGAACACGCACGCTATCGTAACGGCGGTCAAAGTTAGTCGCGATCCCTCGTCGATTTTCCATCCCACGTCGGAGTATAGTTGCGAGGTGAATCTCAATGTAAATTCCTGCGTACGGTTCCGTCTCGTTATCGTTATTATTCCGTTCGACGATAATTTAGTCGAATTATGAATTCCTCGAAATTTCGAAAGCTCCCCCGAGCGCACATTTCTGTCTCTCTCTTCCCCCCGTAATATCGTATAATTAATGTATTCTTATAACATCAGTCTGCCTCTCCTCGGTACTCTACCTGAAAGTCGCTGAAACCCGACGTCTCGTAGAGAAGACCGTTCAACTTCAACAGATGACGCATCAGGACACCCCAAGGAGCGTAATGCCGTTCTCTCATTTGCATATATTTAATGAAGTCGAAGGCGGTCGCGTATTTCGTCAGGCCGACCGCGGCGAGCCCAAAAACGTCGTCGATGAGCGACGCTCTGGTTTCCGCCGGGAGAATCTCGTGATTCTCTTCGAGAGCCTGCGCCAGGAGCTTCCAATTTTCCTCGTCGTAATTCACACGATAATAACCTTGAAGGCAATTAATAATAATTTCTTCTTAAATCAGAGGAAATTGGCAAATCGACACGTCGTTTTACGAAAAGGCAAGAAACGACTTGTGTCGGAAACTCTTTAAAATATAATGAAAACAAAACGAGATTTTTATCATCGGACGTTGAAATGCGCGAACGTATAGTCTGCGAACCAACCTGTTTTATTCACGTTGAACACGACCCAAGAATCCCGAGTAGCGACATTATGCAACACCATTTCCTCTTCGGAATGCAACCACGTTTTTGTCGGAGATGACCAATCATCGCTCGTTTTGTTAATATAGTCGAGCGGCACGTACCACGTCAGTTGAGTGTCGGGTGACGACGACTGATCGTACGTAAATCTTTCCTGCGTCGATAGTTAACGATAATAAATACCTTACGCTTGCGACAAGCGAGACAAGCAAACATCGTAAAATTTTCAACGAGGCTACGAATGTGTTTCTCATTCAATATGATCAATTATGATTCGGGGCCGCACCTGTCGAATGATGGCGCTGTCCCCCTCATAATTCCTCACGATCCTGACGATCGGATAGCCGCGATACGAGATCCAAGTGTCCAACGCTTTGGACAGAGCGATATCCGCCGGGAAAGCGACGGTCTCTTCCGCCATCGCTTCCCAAAAGTCGTCGACGCCCGCTGTCGAATAGTTCCTGAAAGAAACAACGTTTCAGGAAAGTATCATATGAAAAGATGCACCGAAGAATTTCCTAAATTCACGTGAACAATTTTCACCGTGAAGAATCGAGAAACACGTCGAGAGGTCCACCATCTCCGTATATATATATATATATATATATATATTGTACAACAATACCGTGAACGTTGACATTGCTACTCAATGCCAACGTGATAATATATCGACGTTAGACATCGCGCGTGTTGCATAACGTGCCCGATAAAGAAGCATGAGGAATAATGGCCGACAGCTCATGACATTCAACCGCTACATTACCATAAAGTCGACGGGATAACTCGTTGTAAAACGCGGCGATTACGACCGGATCACGCGGTCGCGAGTCGAACGGCGAGCGAGCAAGTGAGTGATTTAGACGTCGGCACCGGGCGGCGATTAAAGGACGATAATGTGATATACCCACCACCTCGCTATGAACTTCCGGTAGCCGTTCCTAAAGGCGGTATCATTTATCACGCCATGCAACATGCGAATCAAGCATGCACCTACAAGAAGCAGTCAGAATGCAGAATCACATTATGCGGCGGTTACGTGCGTATCGACTCGAATGCTGCCTTTCGAGTCGAGCCGAGACTGCTCGACAAATTTTTCGCACGTTCTCGCGCGCTCGGAAAGCGTCGAAATCATTTTATTCGACGTTTATCGAGCGCGACTGAAAATTTTATGCGAAGTCTAAGACGAGAAATTGCGGGCTTTCTTGAATTTATTTTTACATTGAAAACTCCGTGTGCATGCGGAGAGGAAAACGTAATTCCTGGAGGATAAAAATTTGTACATCTTCTCTCTCTCTCTCTCTCTCTTGTAATGTCTAAATGTAATATTCAAATATTCGGTCATTGCGAAACGCGATATGAAATTGTTCGAGTAGTCACAGCTCTACTTTTAATATCCAGCTACGCGACGGTAAAACGTGAATGCTCGCACTCATTATCGAAAGCAAAATACTTGATTGGAATCTCCAAAAGTCTTAAGGATCGTTACACGAAAAATGATCCTTTCTTTACCTTTCTTATGTCGAGCGTTGTCATCCGAGAAATCCAGGTGAGCTGGATTGATGTTCGATCGCAGCGGCTTTGAAACGCTGTAACCATCCTCTTCCATAGCATCCCATTGCATGTCCGCGATGAACGCATGATTGGAGTCTAGTGACGGATCTATCTGAAAATAGAATCTCATGAAAACTCGCCTCCGCGATGGAAGATAGTCTTTGACTAGAAGATGGCTATAGACGAGTCAGTTATTTCGAAAAGGTAACATATACCAGACACATACACAATGAAATTCAATTATATGAGAAGATGAAAAGATGAATGTCAAGATAACGAATGAAATTCGCTTATTTCGGAGAGAAAGCATGCGCAAAGAAGATTTCGAATTTTATTATCATACGAATGCGTGAACTTTGAGTTATGAAATTCTGCGATTTCGCAGACATCATATTCCTTCTCATGTCACTTTTTCAAAATATTCGACTCGGTACTTCATTTTAATCCTGAAAGTACACACTATGGACTCAAAAATAAAGTCTGAAAAATTCCGTTACTCGTAAGAAAAATAAACAAACAGGCTCTTTTGATCTTTTTTCAAATAAACATAGCGTGTCATGCGATCCAGCAAAATTTCTGTCCCGAGAAATGCACTTCCAAGATCACAACAACAGATGTCGCAAATATTGTTCCGATAATGTGCCTTCTCGATCACGGTATGTCGTAAGTGAAGTGTAGTGCCCTCCAACAGCCAAACATCCGTCCAATTCTTCATGTTCACCACACCGCCCAGCCATTGTTCTCCTATCAGGCTTATCAGAGCACTTAACGCATCTACCTTTGTGGCCATGGGGGATCGATCCGCGACGTAGAAGAGTGATTGCCTTGAAAATAATTTAACTCGGAATGCAACGCAACATCAAATGTAGAATAATGATACGACATAATTAATTAGACTAATGATACAATGATAGAAAGAGTTAATTGCAAGACGCAGATATTTTCACATAGATGTCGAATGGATTTTTAATTCTTTAAGAATTTGCTCTGTCGGTACGCTATATTCAAACGATATTCTCTTTCTCTCTCGACATTTAACGAAGAGTACCTCCCTCACCTCATCGATATCAGTCCCAAATTCCCGGCGTCGTCGGCGATCCGCGACGGTAACGCGACGATATCCAATTTCGGCAACGGATAAGGCATCGAGAACACGTCGTTCAGGTGTCCGACGACGTGGTAGAGTTTGTCGATGAGATACATCCCTCGCGTCCGTCTCTTCGAGTCGCCCCAGAAAGTCACCGTCGCGTTATCGGGTCCCGCTTTCGTGTCGCCCAACGACTCGATCTCGCCCACCACGAAGGCCAGATTGTAAGGCGACAACAACGGGGTGTCCTCGAAGGTGTCAATCACCCAATCGTCCGATCTTGAAAGAAACAAGTCGCGAGTTGGTCGTGTAAAGAACGCGGAGAAAAAAAAAGGAAAATACGAGTGAACGCGCGAGTGGATTTCATTATGAGAAACGGCACGCCTAAGACTGTATGTAAACATCTCAGCGTGTAATTAACAGCGTAAATTACGCACGTGTCTCGGGAGCTCTTGAGAGGCGTGTTCGAGAGAACTCTCGCTTCTCGCGGACGTGCCACGGATACCGAAAAGACAGCCTTGAGACTCACGTCGTCGAAAATTGGCAGGAGACGCGAGGCGCCCGTCGGCTTCAACTGCACCCCGGTCAGCGATCTATTTAAAAAGATACGGCCAATTAAAGGCAGGACGCGTATACCCGCTACGGTATGAATAAGTGATATTTAATTGGTCCTCTGAAACGAATCGGTAATAAAAGCGATTTCTAGTTTCGAAATCGACCTGGTCGCTTCTGTTTGTCGCACGCGCCGCGTAAACGAAGGATTATCTTACCATCGATACGGCTATGAATGTTTGCCGTTCGCTCGCCGTAGTAAACTGACTAACCGCTAGCACAAATCTCTTCAAGCTACAAAATCGACGAAACAAACGACGCGGTATTTCGAGAGAACACGCGTATTGCTCTATTATCAGCCTGCATTGAACGTATTGCGGATACACCGCGATTGACGCAGCCTCCGCGCGCGACTTTTTTTTTCCTTCGACGCGCGTAGTCGCACCTGCGATATCTTTACCGAGTCTGTTCGACACAATAGAACGACTACTACGTTCACATTCTAAAATAAGACGATAAGATAATCTTTCATCGGTATTCCGCAACGTGACAAATAGAAGCAAGTAGGTCACTTGCGTGACACGTATAGTAAAAATAATTTACAGCCAATTATATCAATAAAATATATATCATCAAGTTCAGTATCGAACGAACGAAATGAGAAACTCCTAGAGCAAAATTTTTCGAGAACACTAAAGTCTCGCTCACACAGCAAGCTAACGCTGTCGTATCTTTGAACTGGCAATTAGCTAATTGATCCTTCGCCGCAACGATCATCAGATCTGTCTATGCTCACTTTTCCTCGCCGGGCTCGCCGAAGCTCGCCGAGTAAATCGTCTTGCCGTCGGGCAGAATCTCGTAATCGATCTCCAAGCTGTACCTCCCCGGACTCATGGCGACGGCCGGATGTATCACGTGTAATCCGTTATTAGCATCTACCTCGTATCGCTGGATTTCCACTTCGGTCGCGTTTCCGTCACCGGAAATCATCACCGTATTAGACGGCGGTTCAAACGTCGTCGCGTTCGTCGCGGCTCCCTCGTCGGTCTCCTTGTCCTGTGAAGAGATCTCGTTGCCGAAGGACGTAACGTTTTCCAGAGGATGGTTCGTGATATCTTCCTGCGTGCCTTCCTGCTTTTCCGAGGACGGCGTCACGGTATGATTCAGTGCGGTAGCATTATTGCCTACGTTAACAGATCGTTACTCATGTCAAACGGACAATTATATAATTTTCCTCCGATAAACGATTTTGATCAGGGTTATATAATTTCTCTCTGTTACAAGATAGCAATAAAATTCCATTTGATCGTGTTTGATCAAGTGACGTTGAAAATGGCGAACCCCTTTTCTTTTAAAATCTGTCGCAAAAGTCACGCTCGGTTGGTTGCTATCACGCTAAATATCGGGAGCTAATAATTATCGTCTTATCGCGTGTGTTTAGTCGCCGAACACCTGTTAACGTACGTTCGTCGCCGCCGAAAGTAAATGAAATTAATTAACACGCCACTTATCCGAAGATATTGGAAGAAGCAATCCGTCAGTGAGACGGATATACGCCGCAGATCTGTCCTAAAGGAAGATACCGGCGTTTTCGTCGTCGCGTCTCCTGCGTCTCCTCTTCGCGTTGCTCCCCTCGACGAATGACAGCTTGTAACGCGTGGTCGTGATGTTCCACGCATTGATGGACAATTTACTCAAGGACGGCGTGCCGTCGATCCGGAATTCGACGACGACTCGCCCTTTGAACTTGGAAGTCGCGTTCACGTCGCTCGGCGGCGTCAATTCCAGACGATATCTCAGAGGATGAACGAAGGGCGATATCGAGGCTATGATGACGTCGCCCTCCTCCGTCTCGTCCTCGATGAGGGCTAAGGGATCGTATGTCTAATTAACAGAGAAGCACTCGTCAGTGTCTGATGAACTTTGCGCCCGAAATCGCGAAGATGCAAAGTTAAAATTCATTGAACTTTTGAGACACCGATTCCATGTAACTTTCTCTTAGCTTGTTTGCGATTCTTTTTCTACTTCAAAGCATCATATTCGCTTACTCTCGTTTTTGGCATCGTGCCGATATTCCAGCCTATCAGACCGGCAACGATCACAGCGACGACGATCAGAACGATGAAGGAAAGGATTTTTTTGTACGTCAAGAACCAGCCACCTTTCCGATGATGGACGATCTCTTCGTTAGGCGGAGACAGCGCGGTGTTGCCGGAATACGTCTGCATCATGCAGTCGGCTGAAAGCATTAAACTCGCGATAAAACGCACATTTACGGCGGCATTAAAGGTCATCCGAACTGATCATCGACGGTAATCTGATTATTCGACGTGCTGTAAATTCCACGGACTGTCGGAGCAATAGAATCGAGTTCTCTCTTCTCGGGTAAAGTTAAATCGAAATTTCCGCGTTCCTCCGTCTCGTCGCGCCAAAACGTCATTATCGCGTGCGCGACGAATTTCGCGCTAGGAGTGCACGCGGAATGACATCATCGAAATTGGTTCCCCGTGATGCAGGAGTCCGTGATAGGCCCACGCTCGTAAACGCTCGCCGAGAGACGGCTGTTTCAAGGACCTGCTGCTCGTGCACCTCGTTGACTACGTATCAACTTCGCAGCATTCGCATAATCACCGCCGTGCCGATAACGCTCGTATCGCGCGGCTCGCGATTCTCGACTTGTCGAATGCAGACTACTCTTTCCGACACACTAATCATAACGCGCACATACTATACATGATATCTAATAATGCGTGCACATTACGTAAAGTTCATTACATCGCCTCTGGAAACCACACTATATTGTTTTTATTGTACACTAATGTGCATGGTAAAGTTTCATGGCGCTACCGGGGGAAATTTTCCTGAGAAGTTGATGGTCGAGGCAAACTCATTGAATATTGTTTGCAATGTCCGCACAGTTATTTGCATATATATTTACTATCGAAAGTGTTACCATCTCGGAAGTGGCGCATCTAAAGATCGCGTGGAACGGATAAAGCGCATCGAAAGATGTTCGTCCTATCTAGATATAGATTCGTTCTAACTGATCTGGTTTATTCTGGTTCGCTCAGTTCGAGGAGTATTTTTCAGCCTCGTGCGTTTCAGGATCGTACCGCGACGACCGAGCGCGGCGATGATGCGAAATCACGCTCTCTGTTATATCCCGCGCGAGAGCGTGACTATCGTGTAACGAAAGGATGTTGATATCTCGAAGCTGTTTTCGAAAGAGCAAGACGCACCAGAGAAGATTTCAAGCCGGCTAATTTTCCGTCATTAGAGCCACTTAAGCAATTCGTTCCGAGACGGCGTTACTTTGCAACGATTCGCATAGAGTGTGTAAGCTCACCTGGAAGCAAACGCAACAATTTTTCTAACGATAGAACGATCGTTACGCAAAACGTGTAATCATACCAACGGCTTGGAGCGGGAGTTATCAACTCACCGATAAAAGCAATTGAATTTTGGAATGTTAATTTGCAGCAGAAGTAAATTGCGAAGATACTCGCATGAGGCTTACTCTCCGAAGACGATCGGCTCTCTCACAGGCGCTCGACGTCAAACACCAAATGATCATAGTTTCAAGCTGAGAGACGATCTTGACAAAATTGCCGAGCGAAAGGAAGCTATCTTTCGGAAGGATATTTTTCTTTCAAGACAGCGAAATAGTTTGACGTCTAACGTCACGCCGCGTCGAAGTGCAAGCAAGACGTCACTTACAATTTCGCTGTCCATAGGACTGCCAACTGCTGACGGACCCTCGCCGCATCGTGAAGTTGAAGCGCCGAGTTATCTGTTCGAAGGAACCACGACGAAGAGGCGGGTTCGCACGTTCTTTCTATCGAGACGCGGAAATTCGCGACCGCGGCGCGGTGGCGCGCAGGTGACACAGGTACAACTGCAATTAGCCGTTCCACCTGCGGCACGGTATGTGGATGTTGGCCCTCGCGAGTGCCTCGCCCCCACTCTTCGTTCGTTCGTCAGCTCCGCGTGTCGTTCTCTCGCGCGTTCTTACGCACCTTCGCCTTCATTATCAAACTTTTCTTCTCTCCTTCCTCCGGACACGCGATATCACCACAAAACGGTCATGATTAAAAAAGAAAGAAATCGCAAGAACCGTGAGAAAGAGAGGAAACGTTCCTCTTTTACCGGATCGTGAATTTCTGTCAAATCCGTCCGAGATATCGGACGATGAAATCCCCGTCGTCGTCGTCGTCGTGACCCAGTTATCACGCGAGGAGCCCGTGAGAAAAACGAACAAAATAGCTCATCAAGTCCAATTGAAGCGGCATGACTCGCAGGGTGCAAGTGCAAACGTTGGGTTTGGTCCGGGATCCGTACCAGGAGCGGCACGTGTCGACTCCGGAGGAGGAGGGGGAGGACGACGAAAGCATGCTAAGAATCTAAAGGGGAACACAATGGCGCCAAGGTCCTGACACCGGTCGGTCCGCTCTTTGTTTTCCCATTGATCGACATCGCAGATTGGCCGTTGACGTCGTCTCTTCTCTCCTCCGGATATACTCGTCGCGATTAGGCTCCCCTTCAAACGGCGACGGCCGCGATCGCCAGATTGGATAATGGATGGATCCATTCGCCGATTTGTAACACCGCGTGTCAGTCCTAAGTGGGCCTGAATTCAACGAGCGAGCGGCCGAGTCGTACCTACGCTTTTCCACGCGTTTCCTTCTCGCTTTTCGGCGGTCGGGACGACGTCAGTTCGCGCGCGGCTACGCTACCATACGGTCGTTCCAGAGAGACTCCTTCGACGAGAGAGAGAGAGAGAGAGACACGTCTTCTCTTGAGAAAAGGGTATCAAGGTCGCGGTGATAACCACCGTCTCCCTCCGCTGTGCACGCGGGGATCACGTCGTAAGCACTCGACAGCAGAGCTGCGTCTTGCGCCAGTATCAGAATCGTGATACTCTCGTGGAATCCCAAGTTGATACGATTTTATCGAGCCCTGGGGACGCGAAGGGAAAGAGAGAGGTAACTCCGATCCGCTCTCTCAAAGAGTGATCGGGGAGATCGTAGGGTTTCTCTTCGGCTTAATTTCCCTCAAACTTGTCGAAAAAACAACCGCGATCGCGCCTTTAATCTACTTTGTAGCGTCCTCCCCCAACGACTCGGTCCAGCACTGATCTCATCCACTTTGGGAACTGAAGAAAATTCATTTACATTCTTTTTCTCTTAAAGTATCCGAGATTAATTTTCTATCGAGGTTAAAATAAAATGCAATATGTGAACGACGAGTGCTCGTTTAAATGGTTCGACTGTAACTCAGGTTCACTCTGCACGATTCGCCATGACGTGGGCACCGTTGCTGGCAGGACTCGTTCTACTGTCGGCGATTCCGTCCGGTTTGCCACAAAGCATCAATGACGACAAAGTATGACCAAGTAGAAAGTAACGTATAGTTGTGGAAAGTAAAAAACACATATGCTCGTCTCAGGTTGAAACGCGATGGAAGCGCAGTATCGACCTGAACGACGTCTACTACTCGAAGATGCGCCAGCATAGATTGCCAAGCGAAGTCATGCCGAGCAATTATTCCGTGTACATCGTACTCGACGACGAGACCAAGTTCCATGGCGACGTCGCGATCAACCTCACCTGGTCCGATACCAGCGACAGGATAACCCTGAACGTCCATCCGGACCTTAAAATCTCAGATCAGACCACCATCAGACTGATTCGGTTGTCGCCTGAAGAAGCGTAAGCTCGAACGAAACGTTGAATTGACTTGAATTTTCGTAAAAGACAAAAAGTTATTCACTCGTCATCGCGGGCCTCGAAATTCTAACGGAAACTTCTCTTTTGCATGTTCCCTCCCTGCGAAGGGAGATGGGCGCGTCGATGAGCGTGAATATCGCGAGAACCGAATTGCAGCTGCGAAAGTCCTGGTACATTATCCATCTGGAGCAATTACTGAAGAAGGGGAGCGTCTGCGAGGTTACGATTAAATTTACCGGAAATATCACGAGCAACGAGACTGCCGGTCTCTACAGGAGCGTATACATGGATACCGATGGACGAAAGCAGTAAGCGCACCTCTTTGTTAACGAGATTTCAAAAAGATTCGCGAATCTCCAAAATTCACTTCTGTCAGAGGAAATTGTCGGGCTTAATAATGTAAAACGAAGACTAAACTCATTCCTCTTGTTTCAGCGTCTTCTTCGCCACTCATCTTCAATTAGACAACGCGCAGAGGCTGTTTCCTTGCATGGACGAGCCACCTTACAAAGCGACGTTCAAATTGAGGGTGGTGCACCCCCTAAACTTGAGGATGCTCGCGAACATGCCGATAGTGTCCAAGAGTATCCACCATTCCTCCCTGTACGTATTTACCGAGGATCAAGATTGTACTTTCGGTGCGTCGATGTTATTTTTTCCCCAGGCCCAACGACGCGGAGATGGTCCAGAGCTTTGCCGAGGAGACACCGCGTATGTCGACGAATCAATTGGCCTTCGTGATATCGGACCTGCAATACATCGAGCCCAGCAAGGTGGAAATTCACGAGATGAACGGACGGAAGCTGCAGGTGAAGGTTTGGGGTCGCAAGGAATTCATGGAGTCGCTGGTCGGCGTTCCCGACAAAGTCGCGACGATCGTTAATTACCTGCAGAACTACTTCAACAGCTCGCTCGGCGTACCGAAATTGGACGTGATGGCGATTCCCATGTACAGCGCTTCCAAAGCCTCCGATAATTGGGGTCTCATGTTCTTCAAGTACGTGTACACGCTCTTTTTTCCCTACATACGCGAGGTAAATATTTTCCCTTGCAGGGAGAGCGAACTCAGCAGCTCGCTGGTATGGACTACCGCTTATGAAATTCTCTATCAGTGGATCGGCCAATCCGTCACTCCGTTCCGTCGAAACGACGCGCCGGTCAACAAGGCTCTCAATTCGTTTCTCGCGTCCATGGCGACGGTCGATGTAAGAGAGAGTTACTTTTTCATTCGTATAATAAGATACATCATCATCACTATCATTGGCAATTTTATTTTCCGTTATACATATACGAGGGCGGTTCGATAAGTACCCGTGTTAGAAATGAAGACACCATTTTTTCAAAAAATTTTTTTTTATTTTTCAACATAGTCCCCTTTTAGAAAGATACATTTCTCCCAACGTTCCTGCCATTTTTTTAATCCCTCCAAAAAATAGGATTTGTCGAACTCTCCAAAATACGCCTCTGNGGATGAATGTGCTTTCCACCGTGAGCAATCGCGGCACCCATCTGGCCGACAATTTTTTCATCGCCAACTTATCATGTAAAATATTAATTGCCGTTCCGGTCGACACACCTACGGCCTTTGCTACTTCGCGCACTTTCGTTCGTCGATCAGCGAGAATCATGTCGTGGACTTTTTGAATGATTTCCTCGGTAACCACGTCTGCCGGGCGTCCTGGTCGCTCCTCATCAAAAACGGATGTTCGCCCACGTTTAAATTCGTTGAACCAATATCTAACTGTGGTCATAGATGGCGAAGTGTCCCCATAAACAGCATCCAACTTTGCTTTTATCTCCTCGCATTTTTTCCCATCCAAAATCAAAAAGCGAATTACCGAACGATACTGCTCTTTTTCCATCTTAGCGAAAATCACGAAACACGTCTTACTCGAATGGCTGCCAAATCCAAACTAACCTATCAATCAGTCTGCAATTTGTTTTGCCATCGTTTGATAGATGACAGCACACGATGATAACACCAACTTCCCTCAGGAACGCCCTGTGTCGTCTAACACGGGTACTTATTGAACTGCCCTCGTAAAACACTATTTTTTTTTATCTTACACGGAGATTATCTCAGGCAATTTTGTCAGCCATACTTTTATAAGATACAACGTCGTGGAATTTAATGTCCCCCGCGGATAAAACATGCATGTCGAACAGCTTAATCCGGATGAAATGGAGGGAAAGTGGCCGATGACGATGTTGTACCCTTTGTACTACGAGTTCGCGCAGACCGCGCCTTTCTCCAGAGTGGCTGGCATTAGACACGAAGCGACATGGACGAAAGGTAATTGCGAGCGCAATTCTTACGAAAGTCTCTCGGACAAAATCGTAGGAATTACGCAACAATCTCCTCTTATCCGTCCTTTTGCATATTTTTTATAGCCGAGTTGGTTTTCCGGATGTTCAATTATACGTTGGGTCACGAGCTTTTCCAGAGAAGCGTGAGGAAGTTCTTCCATCAACAGTCGAAAGAGTAGTAATTGCCTTCGTCAAGCGAGCCGGGAAGCAGATTCGAAAACTTCTCAGCACGTCTTTTGACGTAGTAAAATCGTTCCTCTAACGAAGTAGACGTTCTAATCGTACGAATTTGGATGAAAAAGCGCGGGCGCGAGAGAGATAAAATGCGTGTACGCACTGCTTCCCGACTACATTTATCGGAAATCAATGATAGTCGAACTTGAAGTTCCGTGTTTCTCTCAGGGACCGCAGGACCTTCTTCGCCGACGACATCTTCACTCACCTGAACGACGTGGCGAACGAGACGAACAATCTGCCGGCCGGCCTGACCATCAACGGCATCGCCGCATCGTGGATCAATCGGGACAGAGTGCCGTTGGTCACGGTCATACGCGATTACGAAACTGGACAAATTAATCTCAGCCAGGTAAGCGTTGTTTCCCGCAAGGACACCGACGCGCGGAGGCAGATACGATTTTCGCACGGATAACGGAGATGACCATGCGTGTGCTATTTACTCGCGGTCAAGGCGTTCCTTGCCAACGGAAGTCGTTGCGTTTACTGTGCCGAGTATACGCAGGCTGAATGGAAATGATCGGTCGGGACTGATCGCGCAAACATCTCTTTTATTTGTATCGGAGATTATTGTAACCGATTTTTCAAATAATATTCACGTTTTAATAACGGTCACAAATCAAAAACGAACAATTTCACGAATAACGACGCCTCAAAAGAGCGGAGATAAATCAACGATAATAATGTTCAACATATATATAGTGAAATATTATTGCGTAATATAATCATACGCGCGGTCGTCGCGTTAATTGCGAAGCGCGAACAGTTACGCCCGGAACGAGCGTGTTGCTCGTCGCGAACGTAACCATTGATAAGTTCTGTCGTGAAGAGGCATTTGCATACGCCTCGGTTGATTATACTAACAAGCGCTCGCTGGTCCCTGAAGCGACACAACTGCCGCGTCGTTCCGAAGAAACAATCAAGGACTAATGCCTTTAGTACAAAACACGCATTGCGCAATACTTGTGAGTCTCGCTCCTACGAGAACACATAATCGATTATTCTGCATAAGAATAAATCGTTAAGCAAAGGTATTCTAGATTTAACAGCTAAATATTAAAATCATACATCTAAGATTTGGATCACGCGCATTTTTAATTTATAGACTTTCCTTGCGATCGTTACACTCTCAGATAATCAAGACCTTGATTGATTATTGCAATCCCTCTTCTTCTTAAGATTAATATATTTACTAATATGCGTTTAACGCTCGTTTAGATACAACATATTATACGTAAAGATTGATAAATTAACAGAAATATTTGCTTGAATAAAACGTTTCGCTTTCCAGAAAGTCTATTTGAGAGACATACCTCCGCAATCGACAACGAAAATATCCTATCAGTGGGACATCCCAATCGTGATGCAGGCTGAGGATAAGTTGAACTTCTCCAATACCAAGCCGACCGTGTGGCTGACCAAAGAGAACGAGCCGAAAAATTTCACGATTTCAGACATCACCGACGAGGACAATTTCATCATCGTCAATCCCGAGGAGATAGGTGCGAAAATCACAGGCGAATTGTGAAAAAGCGAGAATATCGCGTTTCCCTCTTCCGCAGGAATGTTCCCGGTGAATTACGACTCCTGCAACTGGAAGATGCTCTCGCAGTATCTACAGGGTCCGGATCGCGAAAAGATACCGGCGTTGACGAGAGCCAAGCTCCTGCACGACTCATGGAACCTGGCTTACGCCGGCGAGCTGTGCTTCAGCATCGCCATGAACATGACCCTCTTCCTGAGGGAGGAAAAGAGCCACGTGGTCTGGGAGCCCGTGTTCACGATGATCCATCACGTCGGCCGCCGAATCGAAGGCCTGGATGTGTATCCGAAATTCGAGGCAAGTTTACGTCGTTTTAAATAGCGCCGGTGTTACAAACATCGGCATTAAACGAGGAAATTGATGGAGTGGGTGTAATTAATAAAGCGAACCGTTCGCGAGCGAATAGTTCAATTTGGGTGCAATCGATATTAAACACGCGCTGAATTACATATTTCATACATAATTAATATAAACTTAGCGAATATCGGGCGCACAAACGGGTAGTTCATTTTCCGTTCATTTCGCTTAAAAGTTCTCCGCTCGGTGTAATTTTGAATGACGTTAAATGCGTAATTGCACGACGCAAATATAACCACCAGGCATACATCAAGAGCTTGCTGAAGCCGCTCTACTTGGAGCTCGGCGACACCGCGCGACTCAACGATCCCTCCTGGAAAATTCACATGCGCGGTCTCATCAAGAACTTCCTCTGTCGAGCTGGATACGAGCCGTGCATTAAGGAAGCCCGGGATCAGTTCAAGAAATGGTTGACCGACGAGGAGCCGGACAAGGGAAATCCGTTAGTATACTGGAATGAGAGAGAAAACTCGGCGAAAGTTTAGTCTAATCCATTCTCGAGAAATTCGCGTTCCGCTCACATTTCTGCTCCTTCTCCGTTTGCGTAACGATGTATAATTGAAATATTTTCGACAAATGCCCAACAATAAGATAGAAGAACACACTCTGTCGATAAGAAAGTTGCGAGAAAAAAATTTTACTCCGCAGGGTCGCCAATAAATTCCTATGCCCGGTGTTCAAGTGGGGCACCGACGAGGAATGGGAATTCGGATTACAGCGCGTCATAAATTTCCCGCAGAACAGTTTGGCGAGGAAGCAGAACGAACGCACCTATCTCCTAAAGACATTAGCCGGCTGTCCGAAGGACGCAAACAAGATCAAGAGGTCGGTACAATTCGCGACTGTTTCACAAAGCGCTCTTTCCTCCACCGATGAACCGAAACTTCGTTTCAAGCGTTCATCTGAAAGTTTAATGTCATTTGAATAAGAAACCAAACGACCGCTCGAGATAACGCGAGCTTAATTTACCCGCCCACATAAATATTCCTCGCGAAAGCAGAGGAGAAATATGTAAAAAAAAGAAAAACGGTTTAGACTCGCACATCCACGATAATAGAGAAATCAATCTTTTTTTTCCTCGTTCGCCTTCGTCAGACTGCTGCAAGTGGCCGTGCTGGACCAGAACGAGAATTTCACGGACGCGGACATCCACCTGATCTTCAGCATGCTGACCGGCGGCGCGACCGGCCACAGGACCCTCTTCAACTTTCTGGCTCAGCACTGGTACACCGTGAAGACGCGATTCGAAAACAAGACCTATCTGTGGGACGGCATCGTCAACTTCGCCACGTCGTCTTTCAATACGCAGGAGGGCTACGACATGGTGAACAAGCTCTACATGGACCACCAGGACGAGTTTGAGTCGGCGGTCGCCGTTATTCAGAAGGCGCTCAGGATCATCGAACAGGAGACTAAATGGAACGAGGAAAACGTACCAGTGATCGACAATTGGCTCAAGGATCACCTGTCCAAAGAGGACTTGGACGCGATCGCGAGCTCCGCGTCCACCACCGTCCTCTCCACGATCACCGTGCCTACCACGACGGATTAGACAGCGATGACCCGGTCGAATGAACAAACTTGGCATATGTTACGTCGATATTTGATCCGCAAGGAATCTACGGACTGTTTTCTTTTTTTTCTAGAAGAATTCTTGTTTATTCGTTTCTCCTTCTCTCTCTCTCTCTCTCTCTCTCTCTCTCAACTAACGTAGTTATGGCGATTCTCTCTTGATTTCTTTGCGAAATAAACAATAACCGTTGCATAGATTTTTTTTATTTTTATTACACGTAGTTTTTATTAGAAAATCGCGTCGATGAAAACTTGGCAAGTTGATAGCTCAGATACGTATACGGGTGACGGAAAACTCGCGTTTCCGGGTAAAGACTGGCATGCACGTAACGGTATAATTAGAAAATGTAACAGTTCCGATAGATGTAGATTAAACTTAGAAGTACCGCGAAAGTTTAAAAGTAATATTGTATTATAGTTAAATTTTTATTTTTGTAAGTCAAATAAAAATCACAATATCGTTCGTGATGTATTTATTTTGTCCGATAAGGGTAGTCCGACCGAGCGTTCCTTCCTGAAGAAAATTGTGCGGAAACACGTAGTGCTCATATTTAGTTAAGATTTAGAATAACACCGCCTCGATAAATAAAAATGTAATGTGATGATCCTCACACCGTTGTATCTCACACCGATGAGACATTATTAAAAATTCGTCGGCCCTAAATGGAAAAAAAGTTTTGCAATTCTCATTGTCATCCACTGTTGAATCGTACTATTTGAGAATAATAAGCTGACCTATTCAGAAATACAGACTCGTCTGCTATTAAACCGTATTTTACAAACGAAAAGAATTTACATCATACTCGTTACAAAATAAAAGAATTGTTTCATTTCGCTCACTGTTGAATCGTATACTACTTGAGAATTAGAAGCGGCGTCTGAGCCAATTGTTGAGTCGTATCACGTCTTCAGTTTCTCGGTAGATACAGTGGAGGCTCGTAGCGTAAATTTTAGAACCAATAGTCGACGTCTACATCCAAGATTCGAACCTTACTGCACCAATACTTATCGAATTCTTAACCGAACCCTTTTGAACGAGCTTCTATCCGACACCGTTAGATGGCGCCGGGTAACCGCCAAATAGATTTTTAATAATTAATGTCTCGAAAATTAAGACGAATTGGACAAGACGCTCGAATACGGCTCAAATATTTGTCAATGTAGTTTTATCATATTAAATTGCATGGCGATTGGTAGATGGATTACAGAAAGCTCTAATACGGTAAAACCACATTCAAAAATATTTGACCCAATTGCAAAATAAACGTTCTATTGATCATGGCCATTGAGGTCGTGATACGACTTAACAATGAGGTCAGGCGCACTTTCCCCTTATACTGATACATAGGTATCACGCATAGTAATCAACAGGTTGTAATTTCGATTCGAGAATAATCGGAGTTCAGGAAAATGTTTTCGCATAGAACGACGGGAGTCGATAGCGACAACTGGCAGTAAAATAAAACCACCGGGCAAGAAACTTCTTGCTGTATTACCAACGATAAATTACATAAAAAATGTGAAAGATTTTACCGTGAAGTAGATCGTATATAACATTAACATGATTTGAAAATATATTAATATATTTACTGGCTCACGCGTGACATTCTTCAACACATACACAGTATAAAGATTACAATTGTCACTTAAATATTATACACAGAATATATCATTTTTTTCCTAAAGAAAAAACGGATCAACAAGATCCTAAAAGGAGGACCGCAGCTCGTTGCAGACATCAATAATACTTTTTCAATCTACTACGTACTAAGATCCGCATCTTAGAATTTTCATCTGCCCGTTTTCCTCTTTTGCTCGAAAATATAAGAGCCTTCACCTTCCCTGTATATCATTTCTTTCTTGTTTTTTTTTTCTTTTCTTTCATTAAGACACATCATCAAAGTCTTCCACGTTCAGACCACAAATAATCGCAAGCTTGTTTATTGATTAATTTGATGTAATATGTAACGCAACAGACATCGATAATATTCATTTTATATATTTACGGTCTCTATTAATACAATAATCGATATAAAAAGGATAAGAATTGAAAATATATCAGATAAATTATTTAAACAAACTTCTTTGGAACTAGATGTGCAACGTTTCCCATATACATACAACAACACGGATGATTTTTCAATGTAATTGTAGTAGCAAAATTGCGAGATTACAAATTATTACAGAGCGATTACAAAAAGCGTCATTCGTTTATCAAAAACGAAAGGTCAACTACATCTCGCGAAATTCACGCGAGTTTTTTGATTACTTTATTACTAACCACGCTAGACGAACTGGAAACTAGTTACTCGAACAAATCGTCCAATCGAGAATATTTAAATTATCTTATCATACCTGCATAGTTGCTATCGCATTCTTTTTACACGTAAAAAGGGTACACATACATTCGGAATGTGTTTAAGGCGACATTTGACACTCAATTTTTCTTTTATCTTACACGAATTCCATTACAGTTCGTATTTTCTCGCACGTCTAGGAAGTAATTCTCCTGTGTGTAATCGCAATTACTTAGGACCGTTTCTCACAGTATTCCATGGGCGTGTAACATCCATATAAAAAATTCCACTTAATTTGGAGGAATCGGCAGTTTGTTATTTGCCCCTCGATAAATCGGGAATTCAAAAGAAGACAAGGCTCCTGCTTAAAAGCCAGAAGCGAGAAGTTGTACATACAATCTTTCTGCTCTCTTAGCGCTATACACCGGAATAAGTCCGTTTCTTCTCGCATGTCATCGCTCGCTTCTGATTTCGTGATTCAACGTGCACAGCAGTGAGGAATCTCAATACGTTCGATAAACTAATACATGCTTTGTTGCGTCTCTCTTCGTTCGCTAAACCCCCCCTTCCTGCTACACACTCTTTCATTCTTTCCGTGAATCATATAAATAACACTTCAGTTAAGATTACAAAGTCACATTTATCGCGAAATATTGAAGCGTCAGAGCGCTGGAAAACGCAAAGAAAACAATTAACGTCCTAAGGAGCTAAACTACAGCAGGAATTAGTTTTCCGCGCGGTTTTGTAAAACGCCTTCGACTGAGCGCTGAGTCCTTCCGACTTGGCGACTAGATCATCCAGCTTTTCACCCCTCTGGAGCGCCGCCTCTAACGTATTGTGCTGGTAAAACGTATCACAGAGTTCTGAATATTCGCGCAATATTCATCAGACGAAGTTAATACTCTTCGGACGAATAAATCGATTACGAGAGAATGATGAATCTTACCAATATAATTTTCGTTTCGTCCAGGTCGTTTTGCATCTTGGTGAGTGCGTCCGCCTCGACCGGATTCTGATACTTGGCTAAGTACGTATTAATCTGCCGAAAATCAGATGTAACCTCTTTCAACGTGGGCCACGTCGATGGTGGATGCTTCGTCGCAAAGTCGTCCATCACCTTCGTGAGTAGAGTATGAGCAACTCTCCTAGGATACTCGTGATCCGAGATGAGTACCGCAGCTAGATTATCGGCGCGTACATACACATGGCACATGTATTCTACGCAAAAATCAACGTATGAGTGAGAAGTAGGAATATGTTATTCAAAAAGTATTGAATTATCTGCGATATCAAAATACTTAAAAACTATTCCTGTAACTAATTACCTCCTTCCTTGACGCTTTGTCTAGCGCTTGTCTGTGTTCTTTCCACAATAGTCTTACTGACAAAGCCCATGAATTCCTTAATACTGTTCTTCTGAAAGAATGAAAACGACTCTACATCGTAAGCAGCTGCTAGCTGCATCACCGATGTAGGATTTTTGTACAAAATTGTTAGTGCGTACAGTTTCACCATTTTAATCTGAAATAGAGGGAACAAATGCGTTCTGTTAAAATCTGCTTGACACAATTGATACTCATATATTTTGTCAACATGAGCTGTTAATTAACGAGCTGACAAAAATAAAATAGACGAGAGATTGACTTTATAAAATATATCTATTTTTTTAATCATCTATCACATTATAATCTGCAGTTCTTTACTTAAAACGTTAAATTACCAGGTAGCTAAATTTAATCCAAAGGAATAAAGAACCGTTTACAGATCTCGTGTCACAGACTATGCATTCCCATCAGGCAAACGATTCAGGCGGTTGATTTTTAAGTATGAAATGTCGTAAAATTCGTAAAGTTTACGAAACAGTTTTCGATTCAAAGATAAGGAAAAATTCTCGCTGTCGCCTGCAAATTATAACAATGTATATGTAAAATTTAACTTTACTTTGTACCTGTGGCGGATAGAAAAGTCTCTCACAGGAATAGTGTGTACAAGATACTGTCAAACGTATCAAACCTTGTATCTTTCAGTATTCTTACAGATCGTGGAGTCTTTCGTAAGAGAAACGAATCCTAGGGTTCGTACAATTTCTTTACGTATCTCACTCTCCGCCGTAATAAAATTCAGATAATTCACTGAAAAATCATTCTGACTTCTCCACGGACTTCTCGCTATCCTAGACCGCTATACGTATCGGGATCATATGGCCAGATGTGACGCCAATGAATTGCATTATCTGGTGACGTGGGGCATGTTTGGTTGGAGAACTGGTAACGTTTGTTGCTCGTAGGTTTTCTTCCTCTTTCCTCTAGTCTAATTCTATTGGGTGAGACAATCCAATAAGGAAACACGCACTACGCCCGATATTGGCTAGACTGGGACTTGAATTGGTTCTGTGCAACGTCGACCGCAGATAACTTCATTCGCGAACATGTAGAATGAAAACAAAAGTGTCAAATAATAATTGTCAAATATTTATGTACATGAGCACGCTCGGGATTGAGATAATATAAGATGGCTGAGAATGGATTTGCATCCGACAGTAATGCCGAAGAGTCTCTTGTTACAGAAGCTATTAATTTAGACATCGAGGAGGTATTACAATAGCGGTTATCCGTGCGATAAGTTTCACGCTCCATTAAACTATATTATCGAAACTTTCAGACAATATTATTCTTATTCCGTGCTACTTTGGCCGCTAAGTTCTCTTCTTGTTTTATCGATATAATTTATTAAGATTATTCCAGCCTGAGCAGAGTAGCCATGTAATTATCATTCCTTCTAGTTAGATAATACAGAATATGCTATACCAATCGTGGAGGAATTACCCACCTTAGAAAGTATATTGATGGAACCTGATTACGAATCGTTGTCGGAAACGGATGACGATATCGGTGTCCCAGTGGGAGAAAGACTCGGTAGCAGTGAGACAACTAGCATTGGAAGTCACCTGTCACTGAATTCGCTGAATAAATCCTCAAAAGCCACGCAAAAGACATCATCGGGCGTTATTTTAAGGCATGTCATACTAAAAGGAATATCATCACAAATTGTATCAGCCAATGTGAGCAATTGTTCCACTTGTTACGTCATATTTTTTTACTTATAAATTTCCAGTGTGCATACATGTAAGCTTAATAATTTATATCTGGTGAAATGTAATCACTAAGTGTGATTTATAACACAGGAAAGAGTCAATGCTGGTTTTGCCAGTGCAGTTGCGGCTGGGGGGAACATGTTGGTGATCGGTACTAGCCATGGTTTGATACTTGGCTTTGATTTGTCGCAAACATTACGATGGTGCGATCAGGAAGCAAGACATCAAGGTTCTGTTTCCGCTCTTTGTTTCAATTATGAAGGCAGCAGAGTACTGGCTGGTTTTGTCAGAGGACAAATTCTGATGTTAGATAGCAGTAATGGAAAGGTTTTAAGAGTTCTCACTGATGTACATCCACTCGATACCGCTGTGTTACACGTTAAGGTATGTTTCGTCATTAGTTCTCCAGTATGAGGGCAATGCGTATCATAAGTATCGAAAGTCGTCTACTCGATTGACTGAATTTCAAACGTTTTAGTTTACAGACTCGCCAAAAATAGCTTTATGCAGTGATAGCGGTGGGTCGGTGTTCGAATTGAACTTCACTAGAGTCATGGGTGTAAGAGGTTGCGAAAGTAGATGTCTGTTTAGCGGCTCCAAGGGTGAAGTGTGCACTCTGGAACCCTTATTGTTGAATCATCTGCCGTCGCATCCACTGAAAAATTATACATTAGTAGCAATGGCAACATTATCGAAGGTTGTTTCTCGCAATGAGTTCGGGAGGTTGTGCTGAACATGTATGTTATTTAGCTCATTCCGTAGGTAATTGTGGTTTGCATAAGACCGCGAATGCGGGTTGTACTGAGCCACCCGTTATGCGGTGTTGCGACAGCACCTCCACAACTGTCCTGGCAGTTGGTTGTCATACAGACAGCGGATGGGTCCCGCGTAATCGATCCTGTATTGGCGCTCGCGAGAGACAACGTGGTGCACTTTTACCAAGTACTGCTTCATCTAATGTTTACATGATCTTTATTATTTGCTCGCTATTAAGATCAAATTAAGAGATGTTTCCTTAACAAGGTGTACACCGAGGTAGGCTCGCGTGTAAAGTTGTCTCCTCTTCGGCGGATGACCCTACCGTACACGATAAGTAATTTGAGATGGTTAAATCCAAGATCTCTCATAGTGCTGGACACGCAAGAGAAGCTGCATTTGTTAGACGTAAGAGCGCAGGATAATCTGGAAACATTAGATATGAGTCGCGTCGGTATTTCTTACGCCTCTAGTCATTTTAAAGGACTGTCTACTGGTGGGAATGTCTCCAAGGTACGAGAGATACAGAATATTACGTGCGGATTGAACCATATCTTTCTTTTTACACAGGCAATGGCATTAGCTGGCGAACGAGCGTGCTACAATACCGTTGTAGTATTTGGCACACAGCTGTTATTATTAGGTACGAAAAGTTTGCATGCGATTTGTATAAGAACATGGACGGAGAGGATACAACATCTGATAATGCAGGTCAGTTGAAAACAAACGCTTTAAACCGTTTGGTGAATGAAGTTAATTTTCTTCATCTTGTAGAAGCGTTTCCCCGAAGCTTTAGCGTTGGGGCTCTCGTTTTATCAAGACAAAGGCAAGGCGGTGATCGGTCTCCGAGGTTCCAGGCATCGTCGCAAGCAAATAGCGCGCGATAAAGTCTGTCAAGTACTGATTCAATACATGGACGAGTTAAATCAGTGTTTGATAGACGAAAATATGGACTACGACACGATAGTACTCACCTGCGTCGATTACTGCATTCAATTGGAGAATTTGGATCTGTTGTTTGGAAAATTATGGGACATCGCGTTCGAGTCGGAAGGGTTAAAGACGAGTTACTTGCACGCCCTCGAGGCTCCCTTGCTAGACGGAAGTCTTCAGTCAAGATTACCACCGTTGATCGCCCAGCAATTAGTCACTCTGTACGATCAAGAAAACAAAGTAGACTCACTGGAAGCGATCGTAGTTCTGCTTAACGTGGATTGCTTAGATATTCACCAGGCGAGTACAAGTATTCGCTAGTGAGCTATTATGAGGAAGTGAACTATCGATAATGTGCGCCCGCAGGTAACTACAATTTGCCGTAAACGAGGGCTTTGGGAGGCGCTGATCCATCTTCAGACAACGGCCCTCGGCGACTTCACCGCGCCGATTCACCAGCTGGTGCCGGTGCTTCAGAACTTGCTGTACGACGCAACGACCGCTCTCTCCCGAGACAGTATAAAGCTCGGTAACGCCATCCTGGTTTACACCAGTTGTTGCCTCGCTGGTCGCGGGTTCCCCAAAGACGAGCTTCCCGAGGATATGCCGCAGAAAGCGAAAGCGGACATACTGAGAGCCTTGCTCTCGCAGCATTCCAGTTTGGCGAACGACACGGAGAGACAGTATCCGTATTTGCGGACACTGCTGCAATTCGACGCGAAGGGCTTTCTCGACGTGATAGCCATCGCCTTTCAGGAGCCCGAATTTACTTCCGAGATGGGCCTGCGTCACCGGCAGAGGCTCATAGATATCTTGCTGAGCATCGTTATGCCGAGCACGCCGCTCAGCCCGAAAAGTACCGATTACATCACGCTCGAGCAACAGTTTATGGTGCTTATGTTCGTGGCGAACGAGGTATCCGAGAGTACCGTCGCATTGGAGTCCAGTACGTTGAACAGAATGATAGATATGTTGTGCATCGATCTGCACGTGGAAATGTTGAAGGACTTTAAGAGTGAGAGAGAAAGCGCTGTACTAGGATTACTGCATTCTAAGAAACTGTGCAATATCTCCGATAACACTTTGTTGAATCTAGCGAATAGAGCGGGTTTGTAAGTATCTCCTCTTCTCTCTCAAATCCATACGTACGTATTCTACGCAGATAATTGTCGCATTACTTCGTGTTGCAGTATAAGAGTCGCGGAGTTACTGTACAGCGCGAGAGAAGACTGGGTAGCGGTGTGTAAATGTATGATTTTAGAATCATCCAGGCATCACGATATATGGCGTTGGCTCGAACATCTGCCGGCCGCCTCGTTGGACCAGGTCGTGTCGGCTCACACTCCGACGCTCGTGACGATCAATGCGAGTCAGTTCGCCGCGATCGTCGCGACGCGACTGCAGAGCAAGATCAACGCGATATTGCAGAGTCTCGGCAAGAATTTCGAGTACAACTTGCTGGGAGCGTTTTATCAAATCGCACAGTATAAGGAGGAGGATGTCTCATTGGAACTATCGACCGAACACTTGGAGAGATACCTGGCGTTGATGTGCGAATTGAAGCCGACACGCGTGGTGGCTCATATACACGGGCCGCACGGTTGCAGATTGGACGAAGCGTTGAAGATCGTTCAAAAGTGGAGCTGCAAGGACGCGGAAGCGGTGATGTTGGAGAAGCTGGGCAATTACCAGGACGCGTTTGATCTTCTGCTGGAAGAATTCGAGCATCATCTGGAGCTCTATCGGCAGAATAAGACTTCGGAGAGCGAGACCGTGCACGCTGCCGCGCAGCTCGCGGGGATATGCCGGAGATCGGCGGGAAATTTGGACTGGATGCCGCTCGTGGAAGCGGTGTTTCGATCACATTCCGAAAACAATCAGGCGGATAAGCTGAGTGGGAAGCTGTTGAGATTAATTCTAGAATCGCTGAGCGGCACGTCGGTCCTGTCGAATATATTGGAGCAGATTTTGAGAAATCCACTGGCAACGAGCGGGACAATGGGCGACATACGACAACTGTTGTCCGGAGTTCTCACTCAGTCGCGATACGAGCAGACCTTGGTCGAAACCACCGCGCGACTGGTGAGCTTGGAACTGCACAAGGCTCTGGGAAAGTCCCTGAGGTACAGTATTTATATAATAATGTATATGTATTCACCTCGTTTACTTATAAGCGATAATTACATAGGGACGCCGGTAGAGCATGCGGCAACGTTTCCGTCACCTGTCCGATATGTAGACAAGCATTGTCGCATTGTTCCGATCACGTGGTGGTGTTTGGCTGCGGTCATGGATACCATTCGACTTGCTTGGGCGAACCCAAGTCGTGTTACAAGTGTTTGAATACAAAGGGCTGGGCACCTGTCGCTACCGATATCGCACACCCCGCTCAGCCTCCGCCGGTTAGTCGCAACACCTATCGAAGGACCTTTTTCTTCTCTTTCCTCGTTATCTCACATCGAACGCACTGTGTCACCACCTTGTTTTCTTTTTATTTCCCCCTTTTTTTAGAGAAGGAAACCTCTTCTTCCCCCGGAATTCTTACGTCACAAAGACCTCACGTTAAGACTGGCGCCGCTCTGTCCCACTCCCGATCTTGAGGGCATCTTTTAATCTCTCTAGTCTTTGAATATCGAAATGTGGACGAAACAACGGTACGTAGTACTTTGAGGGACACCAGAACGATACTATGGTACGCGCGAGCTACCGTCGGCACTATGATCGTTCTATCTTCGATACTTTATAGAGTATTAAGAGATATATTAAGCTCCATTCCTTGAGATTTTATTTGTTCGACGTGCTGATGTTTACGACACGTTGCCAGATACAAGTTATTACTGAAATACAAATATAGATATTTATTATGTTGTTTATGAAATCGTTATTCTTCCACCGAACGCCGGTAGATAGCGCGCGGGACCTCCTCTCGTGACGATTTTCACGTCTCTACGTTAGATATCAACGGAATATCGGCTCTACGCTTGGTTTTGACTATGAAAACCGGTTTCTTCGGCGCATTGTCTGCCAGCACGTGATACGGATTCATAGGCTCGACACCTAATAATTCACCGGTGAGAAGTTTCACAACGATTGCAAAAACATCCGATTCTGTACACTCGGTTCTGTTCAATGGCGATATTCCGATAGTGGAAACATAGGCATTTACAGCTGCTTCTAGCTTACCAAGGAATGGAATCAACTTGGATATAGCTAAATAATGTCGTAACTGCAAATCAAGAAGATTGATTAGATAATTTTACTTATAGAAGACTCTATCGATAAGCGATTTCTATCCTACGAATCGTTCTTACAACGTGTGACTTGGGGAACAGTGTTTTTAAATACGTGCCTTATAATCGCATCTTTTTAAATTGCCCAATAAGTCTTCAATTTCTTTGAGCAGAGCGCAACACTTGATGACATGTTCACGACTGTATTCGGCCTCATGAATATTCAGTGAGTCTTTCGTCAAGGAACATTCTTTCTTTATCCTTGCGAGGAGCAACGATAACGGAACTCCCGACAGCGTGCGACTAGCCATTCGAATCTTGGAACATTTTCCGCATACCTGTATAATCAACATCAATGTGTAAATACCTACGTAACACATTCAATTAAAAAATAATTCTTTATATATATAACAGACGTTATATCGCAAAAGTAAAATATACAAAAGCTTTTTACCTGCTTATTAACAGAGATCCATAAATTGACGATCCCATTTACAAACTGCTTAAGATCATTGTTCACGGCATTGTAATTCTCAGATAAATATAATAAGGATTGAAGTTTATCCGTTAGACTACTCGACACATTACCAAACCACTCGAGTTTATCGCGGAATTTAAGATCGATGTCCGAACTACAACTTTCCGTCTTAAGTATGTTCACCTGTGTAAAATGCGCCAAAAGTGATTTATCATTTGAAAGGTGGCCAAATAACACACAAGACGTGGAATTTCATCGTTCGTACGACGTCAACTTACGTTTTTTTCAAGAATTCGCACGAGTTCACAGATTGGAGTAACGTTCGTCGCCATAACATTATTTTTTGCAAGAGTTACTACATTTATGCTTTCTTTCGTCATATCGTGGCTGTTAAACAAAAGGCATTCCCATGGCCAACCCGTTTTTATCCTGTTCGTGATAGTCTCCTTTTTCCAGGGGGTAGATATATTCAGTTGTTTCTTTATTGATGTTATGGCTCATAATATAATATAAACGACATTATTGTTTTCTTGAAACAAGTACATATTCTGGCATCAATTTGCTCGTGTAGTATAGATATTTCTATAATACCGCATATTTAGTTTTATTAATAATGTACTGTATGCTGTTTCTCATTGATGTATCGTTTACTATGTTCGGCTAGCTATCTTAATCGAATAATGATGTAATGAGGTATCGTAGGATTTGTGATAATTGAGAATTGACTTTCCCACATGTCGCTTAGAAAATTAACTTGTGGCTTTTTTTTGTAATTTTAACCGCTAATAATGTAATCTCTCTCTCTCTCTCTCTCTCAATGTTAAAAGCCCTATGTTTTCTTCTTATTTCATAAGTAATATACAATATTACATATTTTTCATATTATTATTAATATTATAATCAGAAATGGTTATTTATATATAGTTATACACAGTTTATCTCGGTCGCAGTAGAAACATTTAAAAACCATGCTTTAAACTTGCACTTATCAACAATGACGCGCTATATCAATGTATGATAAAAGAAAATAGCGCAATGTCGGATGCTATGCTCGCACCTCATCTCGAAATGCATAACAAATTACATTTTCCTAGAAATCAATCATCGTAGCTAGAGCCACTGCCTGTGTAGAATGATTATCATCATCTGTAATGTCATTTCCAATAGGGGGAAGAGTACCTCTATCGAGAAAAGGATGGGACGGATTATGAACATCTGAATATTCCCAAACGATAATAAATTGACTTACCAAGAGACTTCGACTCTACATACAAATTTAATACAAAAACACTTTATTAATTTTCTTTTTGACATTGCAACAAAAATCGTTCATTAGCATGTATTGCTGATAGAACTTTCTTATGCTATTTTGTCATTGCTTATAAGAGGAATAAAGTATAATAAAGGAATCATATCGCGATAGTATACGATATAGTTACCACATGTAACATACAGTATCTTAGAATAAACAATAATAACAACAGGTCACTTCTAATTCAACGTCTCGACAAACGTAACTTGAAATTGATTTCAATCGGTTTGATTCAAGTTGTACATGATCTCAGATACCCGCCGTTCTTAAAAATTAATCGCGTCAACAAAATTGAAAAACTTGGGGAACTGTATTAAATAACAATTATAATCAATTTATATCATATCGAGTTATTGTAACTTTGTTTTTCGAAAGTCTAGTGAGGATTCGAATATGCTTCTTAAAACTAGTTCCTCTCATATCGCAATCGGGAAAGAATTTCTACGATAACTCACGTTGAACACAAATTGGTACAATTGGTGATACTCATTCCCCATGGGTCATACTTTTTCTTTCCTTTTTTTTTGTTGCGACAGCGATATATGTGTACCAAACTTAGACAACAGAGGCAGATAATACCGCAAATCTATCAGGAACATGCAATAATAACGAGCCACGCGAATAAATCACCGTCTTTGATGAACGTGTGTATTTACTATTGAAACCTCATAGGTCCTGACACGGAGGTTCCGACTTCCGAACCGTATTGAGAAATGACATATCTATGCAGCAATTGAGAACTGATGCAGTCTATTCGAATGGATTCGCTCGAATCGTTGAAACAATCTCTAGCATCCTTCCATTCGGCCTTTCACCCGTTCAGTCTTTCACGGGAGTGCCAATGAACACGGGGGGAGTGATTGTGATATCTATTATAATGCTGGGGTCTATTATAGCTACTCCCGTGACGCGAGCGTCCGTAGGAAGTATTATAATATCTTCGATGACCATTTACGGGTCGGTTCCAAGGTTTGTTGTTTTGGTACTGTTGAATTGGATTGTAGTTCATGCTAGCTCTATTCTCGTACGATCGACGATCCTTGACTTTCTTTACACGACCTCTGTCTATCTCTTCGTCGTCCACGTTGAAGTGACGTTTGCGTTCTTCTCGTCTATCATTTTCAACGTCTCGCTCGAGCTGCGTCCTACTGCCGTTCCAACTTATCACTACAAACGAAAGACGGTTTACAACGAATTGCTTCTTTAGAATTGAATAAAAGAGCTTATTTCTGTACCATCCAAGAAATTACCCAAGAGATATTTGTAATGTATCGTTTACCTGAGGGACTGCCATATCCTCGATAAGACATCTTATGCAAATGCGAAACAGTATCCGAACGGTTCGTACCATTAAAATCTCGCACAGCAGCCGCACTTGGCGTTGTGGTACTTTGATATGACTTGAGGTCTTCTCTGAAATAAACAGAATATACGTTTACGCATCGTCGTTATAAGTAGAATCGTGTAAAAATTCGAAGAAACATACTTGTTATCAGTAACCGACCATCCATTAGGCGTCCCAGTTGTTGCTGGAGAAGGCGTATCTTTCGAAACTTGCCAACCTTTAAGGCTGCTACTCGTGGCCTTCGTAGGCACCTTCACCTCCTGTATACCCTTAGTTCTAACCGACTGATGCCACGTGTCTTGGTCACGTTCTGTCTGATTGTTAATTTCTACTTTCCCATTCTGATGCTTGGACAAACTTACTCGGCTATTATTGTTAGACCCACTTTTCGTATATTGTACAACCGTAGTCTGCGTCGGTATGTTATTAGTGTTGGTCTTGGCTTTCTGCGCCTCTTTACAATTAGCGACCAGCTTCGGCGCGTCTTTAGCAACAGAACATTTTGGCACACCGTTTGTTGAATTTGTAGAATTAACCCGGGAGACGGTATTCGACGTTTGATTCTTCATAGTGGCGAAGGAACAAGCGTCCTCTTCCTCGCTGGAGCCGTCGTAGGGCACCAAACTGTTCCCATTTAAAACTTTCCCGTTCTTAATGTGCATAACCAATCTCGGTTGCGATTTATCCTGCATCGTCTGCTGCTTTTGTGACGTGTCGGTACTACACTTCTGTGCTGTGGGAAGATTCGATTCTACGCTTCTTTGCGGCGGCAACTGCGGGCCGATCAACGTAGCGTTAGCCGAATTGTCATTGTCGCTCGACAATTCGCTCAACGATCCGTTTGCGGAACATCCAGCGGATGTGGACGCTTTCAATACGAGAGACTTATTCGTAGAACTAGGTAGCGAAGTCGACACGCTCTTCGCGGGTGTCGTGCCATTTACTTTGGCAGTCGGTTGATTCTGGCTAGAGCTACTCATTTCAAAAATCATAATGTATGCGTTTGTACTTAACACGTTATTAAGGCTTATTGGACGAACGCAGGCATCATCGAAGGTATAATATTGACCGCTCGACACTTGCGCGATCGCTGTATAGTGGCCGCAATTCACGGAAGGACCCATGTGTGTCACCAAGGACATAAGTTTATAAGTGAGCTGCTTAGGAGCCTCTCCCGGCTCTCTCCACAAGTATCGGCCCATGTCTATAGTCTGCTTAAAACCGATGTGTTTAGATATCTTTGCTCCTATAACGCTAAATCGCTTCAACTGTACACACAACACTTTTGGCGGGCGTTCTAATGTAAATTGTTTGGTAGCAGGAACTCTTCTCTTACAGGCTTCGCACTTGTAATCATTGTTATCCAACTGTTCTCTACTGAAGTAACTACTTAGCGCTTCATCCAACGTATTTGCTTTGCGTATATCCACAAGCAAGTCCTGTTGAAATTTCAGAAATTAAAGAAATCATCCCTTTTCTCCCCGTTTAGCTTCTACCTACCTGAAAGTGTTGAAATGTGGTAGATACGTGTTGACACTGCAGGCACTTTACTTCAGTACGTATATAACCACCGAATATTTGGTTAATTGGTGTCGTTTCCTTAGAATAGCTATCCAATTTAGTCGCCTTATGCCTAGTCAAATACGCACGTTCCATTCCTTCCAATAAATAACGTAAAAATTCATGAGCATCTTCTTGTTGTCCAGGCACCATAGTTCGGCAAATGACTGAAAGTATCATTGAATATGACAACATTTTCGCGCGAAATACACACTGTTGGCCAAGAAATAATACGCACGCTTCAACTTATTGTATATATAAAACGGCTTGATCGCACTTCCAGATTTCAGATGACTAAACTGCAGAGTTTTGATCATTGCACACGTAAGGCATTCCATACCGCCATCTAAAACTAGCCTATTATCAAAACACCATACTATGCACAATTATAACTCCTTATACACAAGATATTTTTTAACTATACATAGACGTGGAAACAAAAATTAGCAATATGAGAAAAATAATCATACCATTTTGTTCATGTTTGGAATGATGTGATTCAGTTAACAACCAGTTAACAAGAGCTGGAACATGAAACAGTGCCTGAAGAGTGCTATTCAGATAACATGTATTCCCAACATTGTACATGCCGGCTCCAACTGGTGATGTATTCTTCCATCCTAGATGCACTTTTTTGGGAGAATATAAGGTAACGGCTGGTTCTGGCAAAACAGGTCCTTTATTTGCATCATTTTTCTTCTTGTAACTCGTGTTATCCTTTACTTTGTTCTCTTCTGTATTTTCAGAGGAAGGTAAACCAAGTACGATGCACTTAGCTTTCAGTTGATCCAAAATCGACGTGTGATAATCATTTGCTTCGTTATATTGAACTTCCGTTTGCAAAATACGAGAAGCACCGTTGACTAAATCAATTGACAGATCGTCCGTTGCCTTAGACGGACTGTTGTCCAAAGAACGATGGAGCCTAGCCACAATAGGATCGCAAACACTGACCGCAGGCATCTTGGTATTGTTAAAATTTTTCTTAGTATTAAACTAGATGTGCCTATAAAAAAAAAAAAAGTATCAAATATAATGTTGAAAATTTTTCTACTTTGTCCCACATTGGTTGTATTTACAGGACAGATCGTAAATAAATATTATCTGATATATTTAGAACATTCAACATTTTCATATATAGAACATGCATGTCTTTAAACAATAAAAGTTCATGATGAAAGAATCATAGACATAAGGTCTGATAGATAGGAACGAAATATATCGCAATAATCACATTCTCTGCTTAAATGTGTAATAAATAACAGAAAATGTTTGCAGCGCTATGAATGATTTCAATTTACAATCGACACATGACGAATTTTTGAATGAAGGCACCTCTCAGAAAGCAGCATGCGGTAGATAAGGCGTCGAATATAAATCGTTGTTTACCTGTTCGTCAATATATACAAATTCTCGGATGACGATTGTCCGGAATAATGTGGCAATCATTTGCGTGGCGACAGTGAATTTCTTTCGTATCTCCGTCCGCAGAATCACCCAACTATCGATTCATCAAGAATTCCACGAGTTTGCTCGCCTCGACGCGGTTACCGGATGAGCTTCGCCGAGGTCGCGTGTCTCTCTCCACGAGTAATATTTCCCGCGTAGATGTCACCGAATTTACGCCGATTTTAATGACACGCGCGTAAAACAATATTTTTCTTTATATTTATACACCAACATCGGTCATTACACACCAATCGTATTCAATGCGATTGTACAACTGCACCACTCGGACACGCGGGAACGAAAGCCTACATGATCGCGACAGCCATTTGCATCGACAATCCGCCACTGAGCTCTGTTAACGCCTAGTTTACATTGAAGCTGAAGCCCTCTAGACATATTTTCGCGAATGTGAACTGGTGAATTTCTAGAAATGCACCAATCAGAACGTAGTTTTCCAGCACGTAAGCTGCGTTCAGAAAACCCAAGCGATCAGTGAGCGTTTAGTGATTATTGGACTTTACTGTTAGATCTTTAAATTTAGACCAATTACGAATTAGTCAACGAAGAGCCATAACTAGCAGTTGTTATTCTTCGCGCATTCACGACGTGTTGTAGAATATCCTTAAACCGTGTCTACAATAGGTGTAGTAAGCTTTAAGCCGTAAAAAATTGACCAATCACACACGTTTATTAGAAGAACAATCGATCCTGGTTGGTCAATTTGCTTACATTTTAAAGCAAAATTGTGGACAAAGGGTTACTGCTTACAGCAATTCATGTGAGAAGACCTTTAAAACGTTCCTTAACACGTTCATTGTGAAGACTATTGACTTTTTTATAACCTTTTAAAATCCATATTTATAACGCTGTCAACGCAGAAGTCTGTTAGCATACAAGTCCGAGCTATGAATTCTGGAGGATCGACAGATTACATAATGACATTATTAATTTTTTTAGCTACGATATATATTTGAATTTACATCGACACTATGTAAATGATACGCTCCATTGACATTTTATAGCACGTCAGAATTCAGAAGAACATCTACTTTGCGATTATATTCAGTAAGTACATAGCACGTTTACTAAGTGTATTGTATAATTTATATACATATATATATTTCACAGAGTTTATCTTTCAAGGTATATTGAAAACAAAAATACGGCAACATGTTTAGAGATACTCAAAAAATTATTGTAGAGGATGGAGTTGCTCCGTCGGCCCCATATGTCATAAACATCAGAATGGAAGATTTGTTAGAAAAATTAAAGTTATTAAGTTATGATGCAGAATTTGTGCAAAATCTAAAAATGAAACCGGTAAACAGGTAAGATATGCAACACAATATCACTATAATATTATTAGAATGAACATGTAGACTTTTTTTATTATTATTTATATAATATTAAAAATATTACTTTATATCATTTTTGTGGAAAGAAATCAAAAAGATTTGTGAAAAAATAGGAAAAATGTTTTGCTCATGTTTTTTTCTAATTCTAACAGGAAACTGGAAAAAACCAAATAGAACGAAAAAATTAAAAAAAAAACTGATTTTCTTCCGAGTCTTTAAAGCTATAATTTAATCTCATGTATAGAAAGATTTACTGTGTTATTATTAAATATCGTATGTGATTGCAATCATTAGTATCAAATGAACGTTATTATATATGTAAATACATCTGATACAGGCACTACTTTGTCGTCCCAACCAATCCTGGAGAGCAATTCTATACATTTACTTGTCTGGCTGCATGGTTGATTAGAAAGGCTGGGAAAAATTTCGAAATGCCTCAAGAATCAGATGACCCTAATTCGACAATAGCTTTAATCTTGGATTATCTCAGAGATATTGACATTCCTGTAGAATTTCCACCCAATAAGCTCAAACAGGGTACTGGGGAACATGCAGTTTATGTTTTAGATAATTTGGCTGATAATGCATTAAAGATAGAAAACTTCAAGTGGAACAAAGCTAACATCCCACCTGATGAACCTACACCAGAACCAGATATTGAAGATGATGATGCTGAATTAATTTTAGAGAAGGTCGAAGAGGAAATGATGGCAGAGTATGATGATGAAGATCAAGATGTCCTGCACATAGACGACATTACAAAATTTTACAGCCAAAACATTGTAAGTAAAATTTTCCAAATAAGAAAATTTCATCAATCAGCAATTTAATTGTATCATATTCAAGATTATGGTCATTAATTATCTTATGTAACTGCTTCTAATTTTCAGAATGAGGCACAAAAACCAGACAGCATTTTAGAGTCTAAAACTAATAGGGATGAATGGCAATTAGAATTAGAAAAAGTTCTACCTCGATTGAAAGTGACAGTTAAGACAGGTATTAAACAAAATGAAAATTGATCGAGATGTCATTACTTGTAAGACTAGAATATTTTGATTTATTATAGATTCAAGGGACTGGAGAGCACATCTCGAACAAATGAAACAACTGCGTGTGAATATTGCAAACAATTTAAGCGGGACAAAAACTCATTTGAATAAAATATATACCGATATCGGGAACACTTTAGATAAAATAAAAACCAGAGAGACTTATCTGAATAGGCAACTCGAGCCTTCTTTGACGGAATATCGCACATTGCAGGTTGATTCTTACTACTTACTAAATAAATTTCTACTGTAGAAAAATTGATTCCAAGTTAGGACACAAGAAACGCCTACTGAATTTTATACTTTGCTTTGTAGTTATCCTCTATGTGCTGCATATATAAATAAATTACTTTATATGTAATTAAATTAATTACTTTAGGAGGAATTATCAAAAGTTAAGGATCAATACAGAGATGTTAGCGGTGGTGTTACTGAAAGAACAAGAGTTTTATCTAAATTAATGGAGGAACTGGAACACGTAAAAAGAGAAATGGATGAAAGAGGATCCAGTATGACAGATGGAAGTGAGTAAAAGGCATATGCTTAATTTCATTGACTAAAGAATATTTGACTAACATGGAAGAAAAAACTTTTTACGTATTTTGCAGCGCCGCTTATTAACATAAAAAAGACGATTACGAAGATGAAATATGAAATCTCTGAGATGAATATTCGTATCGGTGTATTGGAATATAGTTTAATGTGCGCGAGAATACGAGATCGAACTCAGTTACGAGAGGACATGAACAGCACAAGTGCTTCAGTAATAATCTAAGTCGTACATTGATATAACATCTTTATTACATTTGATTACATTGACTTATATCCCAATCCGCTCAATATGTGATGTCACATTGTGAAGTCAAAGTTTAAAAAGTTTTCATACAATTCTTGGAGTGTGCTTTAACGTTTGCATTTCTGCACATGATGATAGCGAAAGGTTATTAAGAACAAAATTACATTCAGACCTCGATATAGAATTTCTTTTCTCTCTCTTTAAGCAGCACATCCTGGCATGATATATATCGAGAGTCGAATGTGTATTATTACCACGGGTCCAATTATTCTCTGCCTTCAATAGAGTTATAATAATATAATTATATGGAACTGAAAATACACACACATAATATACACACTGTTGATCGCAATGTAAAACGTATGAATTTTTCGTTAGCACTTTACATACGTTTATATATTATTATAGTAATTGTGATAATCTACACAATCGCAAAATGACTGTTAGATAGGTTTCCTCTATGTTAAATAAATTATGTTTTTATTATCAACAGCTGAATCAATGTTGGTTCATTCATTTGGAAACATCTTGCCTGTCATAAAATTTTGAAACTTTTTTCATCGATTGTCTCAAATATTCATGCAATGAAAAATCCGGTGAAGTAATAAATAACTACAAAGTCTTTTTAAATTAAAAGACGCGCGAAACGTATTTAATTACACCATACGTTCCACCTTCCCCACCAAACAAAAAAAAATACCAAACAAAAAACATATACTCTAAGTTAACCGTTTGAGTTCCGGGGGGTATTGAAAAAACACTGTCGAAGAATCCCAAACAGCGCTTTTACTAAATGAGTACGAAAAGACCCAAGCAGCGCGATAGCGCTTGTTTTATTTTATGTCGAGAAATACCAAGCGGCGCGATAGCGCTTCTTGTATGTGTTAGGTAACGTAATTTTCGTCTTTTTTTCATCGCTCCGTCAATAAAAAGATCACATTTAATTTGCGTGCGATGTAAAAAAAAATTTTGGAATATATTATTGCATTATTATAGTATTATTCTACATATTGTAAAATGTGCTATTTACATTAAAAAGAGCTGTGTGATGTACTTGCGTCAGTAAATCTGAGCTTGCGACTTCGACAATAGGTAACGCACCGTCAGTTGTCCACAATGCTCAAAATGTGCTGGGTTTTCTCGACATAAAATTTCAACAGCGCGATCACGCTGCTTGGGACTCAAACGGTTAATAGAGAAGGAGAAAGGAAGAGACAGAATTTTATGGAAAAAAAGTGCGGAGACAAAAAATCGGACTTAGCCGATTTATCGCGCTCAAGACCTTGAGAATGTTATTCGGCTTTATCGGTGCAGAGCGACGTTTGTGTGCGTCAGAGCGACGCTTAAATTTGTGAGACGTAGACAGACGCAGCGTAGTCAACGCATGAAATAGCGCACATTCGCGCGTTGCATCGTGCTGCGAGTTGAACACATCGCGAACGCGCGTGGTTCTCACCGTATCTGTGCCTACGATATCATCGTCAGAAAGAAACGTCGTCCAATTTGACAAAGGTCAATATTTCATTGGGATAAAAACAGGTGCGTAAGATAATAAAAGATTGATATGACACGGCAAGGAAAGAGAGAGAGAGAGAGGGAATATGATGTGTGTCTTTAATCTCAGATCCGACATGAAATTCTTATCAAATTCTTGTATCTGTTCTTTAGTATCTCGATATATTTATTCGACTTGATGTGATGATATTAACTGATCGGCATATTAATATTAATGATTGTCTGGTCTGTATTTATTTCAAAAATCGTATTTTCTAGTGTGGTAAAATATAGGATGATTTAAAATAAAAAAACAGAAGTTCCAGAATTTAGCGGTTTACAATATTCAACATACACTTGGACAATATATCCAGTTGGTATGATAACATCGGGAATTTTGCCATTATAAACTTTCATTCAGCTCTCTGTTTGGACCATTTACTGTGCTATCTTTTCGTGCAGCAGGATGTGATAGCTTCTTTTTAGATCTACTCGAATCGTCATACTATGTTACATACAGCCAGCGAAAAGATATTTTCTCTTTGTTACTTTCACTTTCCCGCTTTAACACTTTCTTCGGGTATCTTAAGTATATCTTAAGGCGTTAATAACATCACTATGAATGGAAAAATTGGAAAGTTTCGTCCAAAGTTTATTCCAATCATCTAAATTCGTATTATAACAATACACGTAAAAATATTATTTTTGGTATAGGAAATGGATTATCACATAAATAAATTATTTTTAATACGTTTGCATTTATGTATTTTTTACATACACATAGCCGGAGAATATATAAATAAAATTCAATATTATTATATAATAAAAAGATACATATCGATGTTGAAGAAAACATGACATTTTTATAATTAAAAACATAAAAGAAATAACCGAGAGGAAATAGATCCAAAACTTAAGTTAAGTTAAGAAAGCTTTCCTTTGTATTTCATTATCTACTAAAAATGGGAAATACATTATTTCTTTTAAATCTTGCGCTAAGATTTTTAATGACTGATGCACGATAAGATACTATCGGTATTGCATTCATATTGTTAGCTGAAAACCGATATTTTTAATCATTGCGATTTTAATCAAAGTTCAAAGTTAATATCTCAATTATAATTGTACTGCAAGTGGATAATAAGATAAATACCAACGTTTATATCTACTAGTACTTTTATCGTCTTTGGAAATAAGCTCTTAAGCTATTAGATTAAAGAAGTCTATGTCGTATATTAATAATTCTTTTTATAAATACAGATCTTTAAGGAAAGAGATACATGAAATGGAGTATATGTCTTCATATATCTTATAATTTTTTTTCATATTAATCATCTAATTTCTTTTTTTCACAAATAACAATTCTATCTGTTATTTCGCGTATAAAATTACTATATAGTCGTTAATAGGAGTGAATACTTATTAAAAATTGTATGAGATACTTCCCAAGTCATAAATATCGTCCAATATATATAAATAATATCATACGTTGATTCATCTTTATTCGTTGTATAATCTGAAAAATTCCGTTGCACGCGCATTTCATTTGTGCTTCGAATGATTCTCTACTAACGCATCTACTACATCGCATATATATATATATATATATATATATGAATAAATCTCTGAACTTTGAGCGGTGAATAATACAAAAATATATGCATGATTAGTCACTGATTTGCATTGTGCTCTTTGTACAATTATTTCAATTTTCGATTTATAAATTGAATATAATTAATGAAACAACTAGGTGAGAGTGATGAAAGATTGATTAATTTAAGAAATTTGGAAAAAAGGGACATTGATTTGTAAAAAATCTATAAGTATTTCTTATATATTTTTTTTTCACTTGCTCGGAAAGCCTATAAAATGTTTTGTGACTTGCGCTTTGAAAAAAGAAGTATCTTATCGCTAGACATGAATAAGGCGGTCTGTTGTTTCTTCCAATATCAAATTTTATCAGATTATACTACTTGAGGTCTAATACATCGACGTTATTGTCTTCGATATTCATCAAATAGATTTTGTGTTGAACAGTTATTATAATATTGTTATCCGACGCATGTACATACATTCGTAGAAAAACGTTAACAACGAATTGAGCAATTGTTATTTTAAACCGTCGACGTGACAGTGCTTAGAAATTGTCAAAGGAATGTTACATGTTCGTACGTGTTTATTATTATTATAAAAAATAAGTGAAGTTTCATGTGCGATGAATCGCGATTGCAAATAATTCTTCAAGGAAAAAGTAATCTCGTGTGTTACTTTCCTTGAATGCATTTCTGAAAGGTTTTAAAATGATTGTGAAATCGCTCAAAGAAACGTTCAAAACACGCGCGAATGTGCGATTACTAAGCAAGAACTAAAGTAATAAGAATTTTTGCGAATCATCTATGCGGAATGTCTTAGGATAGCTATAAAAAAGAATTCATTTTTGTTATATATTATTCGAAATAATCACGCTAGAGTGAGTTTAATTGAGTGATCTTAATCGTGAATAACAATAGCGTGCACCGCTCATTATGTTATTTAGTAATTGTCACTTCCGCTTATAAAAATACCGCAAAATGTAATGCAACATATAGTAGCGTTAGATATATTTTATATCAAGAATTCTTTCTCTCTCTCTCTCTCTCTCTCTGTACAGTATTAAAACTTTTAACTTATTTTAACTTATCGTCTTATCAGAGTGTAAAAGTCTAAACTAGTGACAAGAATCAGTTCAAGGAAAAATTTTATATCTATTTAAATGTTACATATTTTATATTTCTATAGTCTGTTACGTCATTTTTTTCATATTCTTTTTGTTGTTTTATGTAAGGTCTATTCACTTTAATTGCGCTTTCTATACGCTTTCTATGCTCTTTTCTCAATTTTCGTTTCTTTTATGGTGCATTGCTATGTTAACTGGAGTGCAAAGAGTGCACTACAGTGCAACTAAAGACCAAACGTCTTCCAATACACATTATGAGTGCATTATGAAATTTTTGTGCATGTATATGAGAAAACTGCAACTTTTCACAATTAATGTACACTTTACACTGCATTACGATTATTTTTTAACGCGTGCAACTTTCCGTTTTTGTTGATTACTCATAAACGTTAAGAGATAATTATGATAAGTCAGGTTAGTGTATCTAATGTATCCAATTTTACGTAATATTGTTTGGAATATTATGCTTGATTACACTCTGATTCATGAATGTCTCATAACGATTCACTGCTATTATTCATAAATATTCGTTATAAATTGCTTTGTTTATATTACTACTAATGTCGTTTCTACACGATGTTCTAAATTTACATTTTAGGATGCTTTATGAACTAAGTAAAAGCCTTATTTAGATATAATATTTCATGTCCGATTTTTTCATTTATATATTTAAATAGTTCATTTATATAGTTAAAACAGACTTGTGAATAGTCCAAGTACCGTGACTGTCGAAACACTGTTGTCTTATTATATGTGGTTAAGACACAGGGAGCTGTCAAAACATTTTACATTTGTTTCATTATGTGTAATTGATTATATAGCACATGTGCAAACATTTCACAAGATGCATTTACCTCGATCACTAGATGTTATCTTCTATCCCATCATGTTTTTGTATGCAAATTCATTGTTCCATATGAACGATCCTGTATGTAACCATTATTCTTTCTCCTAACAGTATAATTTAATTTGTAGGAAAGAAATGCACATACAAAGTTTACATGTGTAAGCCTTTTCCATAAGAGCTCTGTTAATTGAGTCTCGAATAAAATTTTAATTTTGCATACAACCAAGGTTAGAACAATTACAAATATAGTAAACGATCATTTAATATCTTTACAGAGAAGACAAGAAAGGAAATACTAATTACTATCTGTTTGTTGTTTTCAGATCTAAAGCTCCAAACAAGATGATGAGTTCTTATAAGAAAGTTGTGATTATTTTAATTTTTGGTGTAATTATAACACTTTTTGGCGTATTCACAGGATCATATTGGCCTTTTATATATAATTGGACCATTCTAAAAGTAAGCTAGTTGAAAAATATAAAAGTGTACAAAATATATTAAAATTATATAAAAATTGCATAATATATACATCTTTACATAGGTTTTGACATTAACACCAACATCTGTGAGTTATAACATGTGGCAAGAAACACCTATTCCAATGTATTTAAAGTTTTACATGTTCAATTGGACTAATCCAGATGAGTTTATTGCTTCGAATGTGAAACCAAATTTTGTGGAAATGGGACCTTATGTTTTTCGGTAGTGTTCATCAACTTCTTATAATATGTCATAAAGTAATACTAAAAATAAGAAGGAATCATATACATTCATTTGTAGGGAAATTGATTATAAGGTAAACCAGACGTGGAATGACAATGGGACTGTAACATTTCAAAGGAAGAAAGTTTGGTTCTTCGAGGAGTCATTGTCTGGTGGCAGTTTGTCTGACAAGATAACCAACTTAAATCCAATAGCTGCAGTAAGGCACAGTTTTATATATGCATATATAAATATACAAAATTAGGTATTAAATATTTAATTGTGAGTTAGCAAAAGTGACCAATATTTAATTTTAGACCGTTGCATTTTCTGCGAGAAATAAGACCAGGTTTTTGCGTGAGTTGACTGAGCAACTTATGGTAACTTTAGGAGAACAAATAGTATTAACTAAAAGTGTAAACGCCCTGTTATTTGATGGATTCAACGACACATTGCTGCGCATTGCAAAGAAATTAAACGCAACCACTCTACCTTATACCAAGTTTGCATGGTTTTATGCGGTAAGTGCTTATACGATAACCTGCAATAAATTAAATATTGAATAAATGTTCTGTAAACTAAACGACTCAACATAATCTTGAATGGCAATTTTCTGTTATTTTTATAGAGGAATGGCTCGGACAGTTATGACGGCACATTTAATATGCTCACTGGGTCATCTAACTTGTATGAATTAGGACAAGTTAAAGAATGGAATTTTGATGATAAATCGAGTTATTACAAGGGTTCGTGTGGCGCAATAAAAGGAACGAATGGCGATTTGTGGCCACCTTTGTTGAATAATAGCACTGTATCCATATTTATTAATGATATCTGCACGTGAGTAATTAAGCACGTTACTTACATATTCACAAATATAACAATGGAAAAGGTACTAATATGCAACAAAATATTGTTATTATTTAGATCCTTGAACTTAGTGTACGAAAATGAAACGACATTTCAAGGTTTAACTGGCAGAAAGTATATCGGGGACGATAAGATGTTAGATAACGGTAACAATGTTGCATCAAGGAAGTGTTATTGTCCTGACGAGGACTGCGGACCTAGCGGGACATTAAATATTTCAAACTGTAAATTTGGTGCACCGGCTTTCGTTAGTATGCCACACTTTTATTTAGCAGATTCGAGTTATAGAGACGCTATAACGGGAATGAAACCCAGTCGAGAGAAACATGAACTTTCGATAGTTATCGAACCGGTAAGTTTATATTACAGATCTGAGAGAAATATCGCGATAAAATTGCTTGATACTTTATACGTTATACATCTTATTGTAGTTTTAAAATTTCGAGAAATATCAGTTTTTCGCAATTTTCCTTGAATTTCTTCGGTTTCTGTTTGAAGGATACAAAAATATATTTAGAAAAATGCACGTATGTTTGGTTAAAATTTGCCACATTTATTTTTTTCTGTAAAGGAGATATAAGAAACCAAAGAAAAAAGTAGGAAAAATGGGTTTTTTTCCAAAACATTAAAACTATGTCTTTTACAGACTACAGGTATCCCGATGCAAGTTAAGGCGCAACTGCAATTAAACTTGCTATTAGAACCAGTCGAATATATGAGGTAAATAGCAGCTAGACATAGTGCAGACAAACAATGGCGTACACCAAAATTTTCATCTCTTTGTGTCTGTAGACGGTTCGAAACAGTATTTTAGGAACACTTCATCTAATTTATTTCTAATTTTTTAGAATGTTCCAGAATCTAACAAGAACTTACATTCCGATGCTTTGGTTCACTCAAGAAGCTAATTTAACTGCCAATTATGCGAGTATGGTTAAGGTAGTTCTGATTCTTCCATCGTTGGGCGCTGTAACGTGTTTTGGTATAGCAGGCATCGGGATTTTGATACTTTTCATCGGAATTTTTATTTTTATCCGAAATAAATGGCGACGTGAGGAAAGCCAGGTATTGTTGTCCAAACAGGAAGACGATGTTACAGATAGAGCCGACGCATGGTAACTTTATTTTATTTATGTGCCATGGATAAAATAATTATACTTAATTTTATAATTTTATTTTATTGCTTTTGTGGTTACATTCAGGCTTCCTATTTTTTTACGTCCAAAATCGTAACAAAGATAAGACTGTACTTGATTGTCTTATGAATATTCAAGGGGATACGGTTAATGTACTGCAAGTGCAATATATTAACACATAAAAGTGCCTAATCATTAACGTAGTTGAATTAGTACTTATTAATAATACACGTAATTTATATAGTCAATAAGATATAGTAGTAAACTGAAAAAGAGAATTGGATTTATTTCTAAACTCAAAATTAATAAATATGCGAGAAAACAATCTTTGAACATCGTAGACCATCTTTCTAGAGTTAAAGATGTGTATATATATAATTTTAAAATACAACAAAACACTATATTATTAGTAATAGATACTTCGCCAGATATATAGCTATTACATACCAACGATAATAAAATACAATTGAATAAAACTATAAACGATGCTCTGTTAATGAAATTAAAAATTATTATCACTCTTTACAGAAGAGGTTTGTTATTGTATAGAAAATGAAGTAATTTTATATAAGTAATCTTTTCATAATATTTAAATGTATAATATATATTATTTGATTATTGATTTTTCCGTTTGTTGCGTAGTAAAGAAAATTACCACTTGAAAAATCGCATTATTAGCGTCACTTTCACTTTGCTTAGAATATAAAAAATTATAATTATACAATCTCTGAATGTGTGTTTGATTCACTAAATTCGTTCAGTAATTTATGTACAATGAGCATTTTTATTGAAAATTATATGCTGAAAATTTTGATTATACTTGCGATTTATATTAGCTATTTTATATATCAAGAAATTATATTATTTTTTACATATTATTACATTTGAAATTACTGGTATAATAATCAAATTATATCCACATTAGAGATCACAATAACACATCGGATACAGAAATCTTAAGAAACACATTAGTTAGTAACGAAATAATACAAATATCTTACGTGAAATAATTAAGGGATCTATTCAAGCGGAAGCTCCTGAAGGTCAATCGATGAATAAAATCTAATTGATATATAGCGAACACTTCATATCATGCTATAATTTCTGCAAGTTTTTGTGCAACAAGATATATTGTATTTTAATGCGGCTGCACATACACACAAATACACCACATAACGTAATACACACACACACACACACATTTCAATATTTGTTGTAAATCCTAAATATCTGTGATACTCAATAGTGGAGATGTAAGCGTGCGTGAAAAAATATATATAACTGTTTTATCGAAAGTGCGTATTGATTTATATTATATCTTAATGATGATTTTATAATATTTTTTCAGCATATTTCTCCTAAATTCTACGCCTGCTTATTGTATAAAAAGAAAAACGCTTATACGATGCAGGATAATTTTTCTTGCAAAAAATAATGGACGGTTGATGCGATTAGCTTCAAGTTAAAATTGCGGCAAAAAAACACTCTTCCTACGTCGGCTAGGATACATATTTTTATCGATAAATCGATATTCTCTAGAATTAGGACACTAATTAGATATACAGGTTGTTTCACATCTATCGAACCATCTTTTATCTACGAATCCTTGATTAATCTCTTAGAAATTCTTTTTTTAACGTGGAAACATCAAAGAATCAACTTTAATAATAATAATAAGAATCTTTATTCACGGAAAATCTTTTTTAATTAATAGGCGATTGGAAACAAACAGCTTTTCAGGATTTGCGAATCTTGAAGCAAATGTTCTTCATTTCATTCTGAGTGAATTTTTTTCAAAATTCTCAAATGGGATTTGGTCATAAAGATAGATAATGTTGACAGCTACACGTTTGCAACATAACAGCTATATGTCCATAAAAAAAGAACAGATTAAAGGAGGATGTAGTAATTGATTAAATTTGGGACATTCTATAGACGATCTATATGAATCAATCTTTTTATATGCTTTCGTTGCGAGAGTTTTGCACATCACATATTTCAATGTTTTCCCGTTAATGCGCTTTTAATGAGAGTAAAATGATTTAATAATACGCCTAACGAAAAAGGTTTACTTTCTCGCGTAGGATGGTATTTATACCCCAACTTTTAATTGCTCTCTCTCTCTCTCTCTCTCTTATTATTTTGATAAATTTAATATCTTATTAAAATATAATCATGCTTATAATATTAATTTTCGATGTTTTCTTTTCAAACCAAGGATTTTACATCATTCATGTCCACTAATATGTATATCATCTTTTTATCGAGTCATTTCTATTGCAAGTCAGTCCGTATAATTCGCCTTCCGCTACGTGGGATAATGATTTTCTCGAGATCAAATTCCATATAGTTTGACGATAGTACTGGTATAGGAAACTTAAATAATACAAAAACATTTATTTTTGTCTGTTCGTTCATTTTTTCGTACACGGACATATTCTCTGTACGTAGAAGAAATAAGTCATAAAAGCCACACAGAGAGGATCGTAAAGCAGAAAGTTGGCAGGGACCTCAAGTTTCTCTTCACGGTAGTAGTATCACTTCCGTTTGTTAAATGTACCTCGAGGAAGTTGCGTCGCAAAAAAAGAAGGGGAACTTTTCAAAAAGTCAGAAATAAGTAACAAAAAGAGCGAACGGAGCTGGAAACGTATTTGTATTCCGTCGGCTTACCGAGCTCGGATTTTTTTCTTTTACATCTCAAGGACTTTGTCTCTTGTTGACTCATTACAGATATTAATTCTCTCAGTATCAGTGGTGTATATACATATATATAATATATATATCTTTTTTTTTCAGGAGAAATATGTATATGTATAAGAACATGAGGAACTTTTGTCGAGGAAAATGTTGTCGTTTTTATATTTTTTGTCCTCATTATGTGTATAACTGGAACAAAATAAATGAGAAACATGCGTTATCTCAGGTTTACACCTATCGAAACTATATACAGTGAAAATGTTTCTATTACATTATAAAAGTTTATATTTTGCGATAAGCGTTATATAGAGCGTTATCAATCAAGTTTTAAATTCGGAAACCTGCCACGATGTTGCGCGATCTTCCTCGTATTGCCCGCTCATCCCATCGTTCTGCGCTTCATTCAGCCGCTAAGAGATAATTAATATTAACGAAGCGATTGTGTACGAAGGCGAGACGACGAATGACATGTAAAAAATGCAGTAAATTGCGATAAATCGGCAAAGATAAGATAGCGGTGGGGCGGGTAGCGATTCAATGGACGATGATGAATGAACGCACGAGTAAACATAAAGGGATGATGAATACTACGAAAAAAGAAGGTCTCACGGTTTGCTAAAAATGATATTCCATTAGATTATCGGTAAAACCGTGATTATGCTTAATTTAGGCATGAATCCGTTCCCATCGTCAAGATTTCTCCAAATAAAGGAGATCTCTAATTAGAAGACCGAGAAGACATGGAAATATAAGGAAACAAAAGATATGAAAAAATTAATGAGTATTAAATTTTGCAGCGGAATTGCGTAATAAGCAAATGAAATATTTTCGTTGGCCTGGATCGTCCGCGAATTTCACACGGTGCGGCGTGACCGTGCACCTACGGCTTCGTTAAAACAGCGCACCTCAGTTTCGCAGAGTCCGCCGACGCGTTCGCGTCCTTTCGCAGTGGGCGCGCTTGCTCTCGCGCGAAGTAGCACCATAACGATTCTCGGTCGATCTTGCCTCTGAACGTGCTCTTGGGAAACTCCGAGAAATCGAATTAGAACTTTGCGTCGCGCGAAGGGACGATCTCTGCTTGGACTTTCGTTAGAAGTTTACGCGCGGATGTCGTCGGCAAATGTATGTCAACGATTTTCCGGTAAACAGATTATGCATAAATTATACTAAATTATCTCAGAAAGAGAGAGAGGGTAGTCAAGTAATTTGGAAGCATGTAGTATTCGCGCGAGCGAACATGTTTTCTTCCATTTTGACATGACAATAATCTGAATATAAACACCCGTCATTATTTCCGGGTCGGAATAGATTCTCTATATTAGCTGAGAATACTTGATTTTTGCACGAATACAACATATTTTTCGATTATTTCCGATATTTCCGATATTTCATTCTCATCCGATTGTTGTCGTGCGCGTCGGAAGCAAGAGAAATATGCCGAAAGATGATGAATTCTCTTAAATATTCCATTACAAGTACGTGCGTGGGTAATAAAAGTTTTAATCTTTCGGCATGGTGGAAATATGCACCGAAGAAAGACCATTATGTTGCGAACCCCCGAGAGGCAGGATAACCACGTAACTTTTCATCGTGAAGCAGCTAAATGTGACCGCTCTTTGCGTTAAGATTTCATTGTGCATTTCTGCATTGATTTCCTTTACAACTGTGTTAAAAAACAGCTAATACTCGCAAACGGATTAGATTTTATGTTGTTTTTTTGGCAATCCGCCCAACGAGTAATAATTTTGATATGAATCGCAAGAACGGGGAGCGCGTGCGGTATACGCGACGATAAATCTCAGCGCGGTGACATTACGAGAGTCCGACGCTGAATAAGTCCGCGGCATTTGCATTCGTATCTGAAGAAAGGGAGTAATTTGGCTTCTCACTTCGTATACCAAAACTAGCGTACTACTTTATTTACTTTGCGCGAGTGATCATTTTATACTTGGGAGGGTCAAGTTCAGAACGAACTTTTCGGTAGGTAAAACTGGCTCGATATTACTTCGGGCAAAACTCGTTGCATCGGGAAATTTTTAATCGCATGAAAATATGCGTCTTTTCTGACATACGCCGAGTAATTCGACGAAAATGAGATTTTGTTTGATCGACCGTTAAGACAGCAGATCCGAGTGAAAGACTATTCTCTCAAACAATTTGTCTCACGTTGTACGTGGCCGAGAAAATATTTTAATTACTGAGCTTTATTCAAAACCTGTTAATATATGATTTACGTTATAACGAAGTAAAACGCGGAGCAGCTTCTTTTATTTGCACAAAAGATGCGAAATTGTGGTTGTAATTATTCTTGGGCAGATCGTTCCGCGAGTAAATACCTTGTTACTTGTATCACGACGATAAAAAACGCGAGAGAGGATAACGGGACATTTTTTTATTGGCTTGCGCTTACCACGGTAAAGACAGTAATTGCGTCGTTTTCTCACTCAATGATTAAAATTTAGACGAACAAAGTTATCGCACTTACGTTAATTAAAATAAACGGAATCTAATAATTACAGTTTGATATTTTAATCCGTGAAATAATAACTCGTGCACAACGAATTTTTTCGTGTAAACAGAGTCACTTTCGATCGATAGTTTCTCGTCATGCGATTAAGGGTGATATTGCACTACGATTATTACTTTGTTGTGATTGTGACGTAGCAACGCTGTTAACGACACACATTTTCTTCCAAGAGACACCTACGTATCCATTAATTTACTCTTAACCATTACACCGTGATTGGTATCGCTTAACTCTCGTATTTCTCATTATTTTATCCGTTGCTACTCGCACCGATTAGCTTTATTCGTTAATACTCATTAGGACACTGCTCGCTCTGTCAGTCCCGCGCAGATCGTTTGTCGACGATATCGGTTTAATTAAATGTACAGCGCAATGTCCCGTGAATGTACTGATGGAATTGATTTCACGCTGCAACTAAACTTTAGATCTCTAAGCAAGCAAACGTAGAACTTAAGGAGGAAAACTGAAACTTTATAAACAAATAATGCGTTTTGTAAAAGGTGTGATCATATACTACGAGATATTTTTCCGGCAATATTTTGAAAATTACAAGACTAACTATACACAGCGCTTGAAAATTGTAAAAATATATTTAACAGGAGCGATTCTGGACTGTTAGATGGACGGATATCGCGGATTAGGCATCTACGGATCTTAGGATACCAACCTGACGTTACGTCGGAGTTCAAATGCATAACCCGAGAACAATATACCAGCAGATGAACGGTTCGAGACTATGTTCTTTATTCCGCACGGACTAAGCTGATTGCAATAAAGCTTTGAGGAGCGAAGGAATGCATAATATCTGGCTCAAATAAATTCCTCATGCCGAGATCGCGTCGAGATAAGCTATGGAGAGAAAAAATAAAGAATAAACTTGAAGAGCAGTTTTCCTCAAGAATTGCGCGCTTATCAAGTAGCGACTTTCAGGTGACTTCAAACCGACGTTCAGTTCAACCGTTTGCTCGTTTAAATAAACGGACATCCATCAATATGTTGATATCACGGAAAGTCGTACCCACGGATAAATCACGAACGAAACTTTTGCACAACATGTAACTCTTCGTGGGAACTTCGGTATTTCCGGCATACGTCACGCGGATGTAAGATGAATCTCGCCATATCGACGATCGCCGTTTGGCTGGCGTCGATGACACCTCGTTTAAGCTATGCGGTCGACGACGCGGACTATTACTCGTCCGCGGAGAACGAACGTCCCGCCAACGTTACAAACTGCACGAACGACTACTGCATCTCGGACGAGGATTATTTCGAGCTGATGGTAAAGCACATATTTCCGAAGCTGTCCGACTGGGTGCTGATCGCGATGCACAGCGTCGTCTTTGTGGTCGGCCTGATCGGCAACGCGCTTGTCTGCATGGCTGTCTATCGGAATCACTCGATGAGAACCGTCACCAATTATTTCATCGTGAATCTGGCAGTGGCCGACCTGCTCGTCTTGCTGATCTGTCTGCCGCCGTCGGTACTTTGGGACGTTACGGAGACCTGGTTCCTCGGACTGAAACTCTGCAAGGCTGTGCCTTACCTTCAGGTAAGCTCATCATAAATCTGTGTATAACTATTCCATACATACACTACGATTTACAATCTTACGTTAACTACTATGGAAAATCTTTTATACTGTGCATCTTCGCGGGAGAGAAAAAAATGTTTGACTATACAGAATCTGACTATGAAAATTCAGCGATTTTGCCGAAGTCGTTAAGCCCCGGTGCACCTGGTGTACCCATTTTCCTGAAAGACTGGAGAGACGCTTGGTTCGCAAATTGCCCTTTGTTCACGTTTGAGAAATAGAAATTATTCCCGTTTGAGGCCGATAGATTCTCGCGCGACCTACTTGAGTTTATCCCGGTGATCCTTGCTTTTCGGAACGAGGAAAAATAAAACTGCTTGGACCAATGAAACCGATTCTTGTTCGGACAGATTAAAAAATTGCAACGAGCGGATTGTTTCCACAAAATTGAACAATCCTAGAATTTTTTAAATTGCATTTTATCGTATACATTTATATTCAGAGAGGAGACCGATTGCGCGTTAATTGATTCTTCTTTTGGAATTTTGGTCGAAAAGTCTTTCCCACAAAGAATAATAAAAGAGTCTCCTGCAAAGCATATCGCAGTTCCTTGAAGCAGAAATGATAAGAAAAAAAAAACAAAAGAAAAAAGGAAAAGGTACTTCGTGAGCCCCGACGATGCCGGGCATGTATCCGACATGAAATTTACGATTTAATCTCTGTCCGCGTCACTCGATTTAATATCAGAGGAACGGATTTCGTACGCTAGTTCGCGAATAAAACTGACAAAAATTGAACATTTGAGACAGAACACGCGGAGATAGCGCGACACACACATCGTCTTCCTCGCATCTTTAGAAGGCTCCTTCGATATTCCCAAACGTCGCTCAACCTCCTCGGAATTCACAATTGGGCAGGATATGAAGGAAGTCGACCGATATACATTTTGCAATATTGGCAATTCCTTTTTCTGTTCTGCCCTTATCGGGCGTCAAATGTCGCAGCTATTGTGGTTTCGGCCAAAATTGAAAATTCTATTGTAAATCGCTACTGTAACGCTCCCCAACGTTCGCAGGAATGTGTGGAATCATTTCATAATCAATGCTTCGGATGAAACAAAGAAAGTTAAAAATTTAACTCTCTATACAAAAAAGAACACATTTTTATTGTCTCTTAAGTTATTATCATTATCAGTCGAATGTGAAAGGATCGGTAGGAATACGCGCTATTATTATTCATTATTGTAATGTATAGACATAGATTCATGGCGAGCCTTTATTTCAGCCAGCACTCAAGACTGATAAATCTGACCGCGCAATAGAAATATGTTTTACCCAGGCATAGTTGATTACCACTTTCGCTCGAATTACGCTACTTTACTGGGATTGTCCTTTTCAACGAGTTTCGCTAATGTTTATTCGAGTGCATCGCTAACTTCGTTTGACCGATACATTGTTTAACCTTCGCAGTGAAATTCTTCACAGGATCGTGCGTCGAATTTATAATCCGTTTGTTAATTGGCTCACCGTCGGAACATTATGTGCTTCGATGTATTTAATTATTGTCGTAACGAAATAATTAAAGCTCTCGGCTTGATACTACACCCAGATTGGATTACGCGATAAATGTTGAGGTAAATTAGTTTTTTTTTGTTCATACACATTAATAAACAGTTATCTGAAAAAACATTTATAATTCAATGTAAAAAGATTGTAAAAAATCTGATCTTGTCTAGTTAAATTATTGCCGAGGGAAAATTGACTCCTAACTGGATTAAAGTCTCGCCATTTTTTCTCTCGCTCACAGAGAGAGAAAGAGACTTCGTACAATATCTTGTAAAATATTCTATACATTCACTTTTTATTTATTTGATTTATCAGTGTCGGTTGCAAAGAAAAAAAAAACCCACACAGAACATTCCTCAGACACCATACGAATAGATCGATGATGGTATTGTAGGCTCGTATGTTAAAGCGAAGTGAGTCATCGCGGTTAACAGTATCTGATTTAGTCGAGGATAGTTTCTCAAACACGCAACAGATGGCAGACAAGTTGCATTCTTCTCGCATATATTTTTTAGCATAAAGAGTTATATAATGAGGTGGTATACTATCGGTCCATCAAAAAGGGTGCACGCTACTTCAATAGCGCGTTATCTCAACTTAACGTCGGGATGGCGGGGTATGGCTATCAAGACATACCCTGTACGTAATTTTTGTGAATACGAGGCTATTGGCTGCCAATTAAGCACCGATGCCTCTCTCTGTCGTGACTTAAACATATTGCTTTTTCTCGCGCTAGCCTCTGTACGATCGCTTTCCTTTTCCAAATTTTTTAATCGTATCACGCACGCATGTGTAAAAAAGAATACTGAAGTAATACGTGTACTACACCACGGAACTTTACGCAGAACCCTCGCCTGCCGGTGAGCAGAGAAAGTTCTCTAGTCATGGTGCTTTGCAAAGTGGAACGTGTACGCGCGCGAAAAGCTTTTTGGCAATTTAAATTTTGCATCGACGTTAGGTAGACTTTCGCTCTCGTGCACACGCTTCGTGTATATACGTATGTAAAAATAATTTACCATGTACGCCGTCGGCCATATCGAAACTTTTTTCGAGAAAAATTTCCATATGACATTATTAAACTCCAATTGAGTCATGCACGTTATTTTGGACATACATAAAATATGTGTACATATTTAATGTCTCCGGTAAAATGAGCGAGCTGCGGTGAAATTGTATCCTGTTAAAAGAGAAAAAGAAGCGCGCAATATTGTAATCGAGACTTTTTCCGCAAAATATGCGTAAAATATGCGCGCATATATTAACCGTTTGAGTGCCAAGGAAGCGATTTTGCGCTTCTTCTGTTTCGCTCGAAAAGTACCAGGCTGCGAAACCGATAACCGGCACACGCTCGGCTTCTGTCAATGCGCGACTTTACGGCTACCATTCCGTTTTAGGTAAAAATGAAGTAATGAAACAACTGATAAAAGAATGAATTTTAATTGCAATCTAACATTTGGATGCAATCATCGGAGAATAAGCGCTATCGCGCAATAAGACAAGCGAAAAAGCGCTCCTTGGCACGTTTGGACGGGGAAACAGCAGAGATGCGTGGCACTCAAACGGTTAATATCCAAAATTCCCGCGAGATAGTATTTGATTAAATGTCAAATCGCAATGAAAAAAATGTAGCTCTTTAAACAGAGCGACAGTTGAATTTTGAGGTTTCATTTGTTCGGCAACTGTGATAAATTTTCGTTATCTCTTTGGTAAAAAGGGAACGTTGAATCTCTTTTACTCGTATGTCCGCAGAGCGAAATACGTCGAATGATTGATATCGTAAAGCGGTTGAAAGTTATCCAAGCTGAATCCTGTGTCATCCGATCTATTCTTCGAGTCACATATCGGTTTTATTATTGTTTCGCTTTCTCCTCCATCGTCGGCTATTAGAAGTTTGCGGTTGTAATATAAAAGCCCATTTCTAGACTCCGCACCTTCGGAAGTCTTTATTGTCCTCTCTCCTCCTCGCTTAAATAATATTATATATCCGTACTTATATGACCTACTTTATTTAACTCACTTCTATATTTGTTGACGGTTTAACGTTTCTCCCATTAAATTGAAAGGTTCACTGAAAATGATAAAAGTGTTATTAACGAATCGCTTTGGATAAATATGATGAGGGCAGTATGTGTGCGTGCACGTGACAAACGTTTATCGCGCAGGACGGAATGTTATTTTCCTTATCCTCGGTGACAATATCAACCAATCGTAATAGACCGTTGCTGGTGCAAACGGTTATTACCATATTACCTACCTCTCCTAGGGTTCCTTTCTGCGTTAGTTGATATTATCGTTGAAACTGAGAATGAAATTTACGATCCGCCGGTGTGATCGATAATTTTGAATGCGACCGATAAAGCATATGATCGTAAAGTTCAATATGCGCGTAGGAGCTGTGCAGAAAGTTACATACGATACGATAAATATTATTCTATCAATTCGCTTCCCCTCTCACATATGCAATACGACGTGAGATCGATGTGCCGTTTATCTTTTCATCTATGAGCAAACACGCGTTTTTATAAACGTCACAAGTGACGTATGTTCTGGCGGTATATCGATTCTAACTTCTGCAACTTGCGAAGTCATAACGTCGACTGTTACATATTATACATATTATACATATTATACATGTTACATAATCATGCATGTGGCGGGTCTCCCCCGAGCACGATATAAATGCAAATTCATTAAATTTATTAAACGAAATTGATTAATCGAATAACCGAGATTACTCACACACCATCCATGATACGTTATTCGAGTGCAGTTCGGTTATTTTTTCTTCGTTTCCGAATTCTTCCCAGATATATCGCGTTCTTTTTCTGCGCGTTCGTGTATCGACACGCTCGATTATACGAGTACGTGTTCGCACGTGTAAATTCTATCGCTTGTTTCGCGCATCCGCGGAATACGTTATGTCCGAAAGCATGCGTTTGCATATATTTCCCTTCCTTATCTACTCGAGCTTTCATCAGTTCGTTACGGCGAAAAAGAATCAAGCGATTAAGGACACGTGACGAACGTATCATGATACTTCTCCGTTGTCACATTTTGCACCGTCGTTTATCGTTCGCGCGATACGACCGGGTCTATTTTACGCGATCTACGGCAGAGCACGGAGTAATTGACGGAAAACCGATAGTCATAAAAGTTGTAGGTGATTTTTGTTGGAAAAATCATGAGTGGGATACGCGCGTGACGAGATATTCCGCGCGATCGGCGACGGCGGTATCGTCAGGATCCACAACAGCCCGAATAAAAATCGCGAGAGTAACGGCCGGAACAAACGAACTTTACCATTATTATTCCGCCCTATAGATCGAGAATAGAAATATCTGTGGATAGCGATTCGAGTGAGGAAGCGCGAGAATGTCGCGGCTGTTTTGCTTCCCGTGCTTGTTGATTAGCGCGCCATGTTAGAAAATATATTAGCGTCACGATCGCGTCGCCGCGTTGATTCGGTGACCTTAATTCTCGGTCCGGAGAATTTAACTGTGCAAATGTTCGAAAAGATGATTCGAAATGAATTATGTAGCGGAAAGGGGAAGAGAGGTTGCGCGATATTTCCGCGAGTGGTGAGTATGTTGCTTGAACAGTACTGGCCGCTTAAGTAGCCGGCGTTGGGTCAATTTGTCCCGGGGGATACTTTTTGTCTGCATTATATATCGCGAAGAAAAAGGGCCACACACACACGTGAAATCTTTTATTGTTGAACCGCACCCGAGATAATCGCTGGATTATTGATGAATTCCGTATTGAGAAAAAGTATGAGAAGTTGAAGGGAAAAGTTACGGTAAATAAACGTGCGTAACAACAACGCGTTCAAACTCTCGTGCGATCGTTTATTTCCATTGCATTTGTGTTGACCAGTCATGTTTACGACGTTCAACTAACGTGGTATCAACTCTTTTTATCGTCTATTGTTCCGGACGCTATATCAGAGTACAATAAGAGAACATTGCGCGGTATGTTGTGCACAAAGCTTAGTTACCAGAACTATATGAAATTTAGTCATTCTTTCTAAACGATCGCCAGAATTTTCAGTGAAATGAATCAAACACCAGAATGCGCCATTAAAGTATCGTACGGCAGTTTTGAGACATCCTGTACTGCGAGTAACCCTGCAGCAACGATTTATTATCGGACAGCGATTTAACCCAGGCGCAATAAATGCTTCGTATTTATTACCCTTATCATGTTATATCTCACGATGTCCAGTATTAAATATATATCGAAGATCGCTCTGTATAGTAGAGATCCAAAGAGTGTCCGCAGTCAAGCGTATTCCCTTTCAATTCCAAGCGGTCTCTTCGACCGTTCTCGAGTGAATTTTCCTTTCACAAAAACGTCGAGGCAACGATGGCTCTCGGATCATGACTATTCTCAATGTCGTCCGTTGACAAAAAATTGACCACGATTCAATCGCTAAATATAAACGCGTTGTAAACGTTCTCTTCGTGCATACTAATTATTTGCGTATTTAATTTATTATACATTCATTATTAAGCGTTTTGCTCGTGAACTTTTCCGCGTGCATCGTGTTCTCGCTTCGGTAAATACATAGTCTGCACGCTTTTGACTCTCTTTTTCTCATAATTACGTGCAAAAAAAAGATTGTCCAACTAACGAGACCGGACGAAATAACGCGAGCCATTAATGCTTCTATAGCATCGTTGCAACCTCAAAGCATCAGCAAAGGCAATCGGCCAACGTCGTCATTCAGTAAATTAATCGAAAGTCTATCGTTCCCACGACACATATACTTGCACTTTAGTTTGTATATCGCGACGTCAATGAAGAGTTCGCATATGTTACGGGGGCAAATGAGGACAAGGTCGAAAAAAGAATTCTATGGAGGAATATATATATAAAATTTATACTTTGAAATTATATAATCCGCGAAAATAAATGAAAGATATTCTGTTAAAGTCGGCCAATGAGTTATTTAATTCGTCCAACTATTCCATTCTCTCAACATGTGCGAAGGGACAAAATTTCACAGATGATATAAAATACAGAATTACTCGGATTTTTGTACGCAGTAGTTTTTCACGATCATTTTCGTTTGTTTTGCGTAAATCCGTAAGAATTATAGCAATATGTGAAGTTTATGTTTATGCACTTGTTCATCATGATGCACGTTGGGAAAACTAATACAGGATTTGTATAAAACTGCATTTCCACCGAAATTCCGCGTACGTGAAGTTTTTCAGTCGGATATAGATATTCAATATAAAGTCGGTTTTTAGTATCCATTATTGGATGTTATAAATCTCGCTTTTGGCTTTATGTCAGCCCATTAAACAAGAAATTACTTTGAACGCATTGTACTGGAAGAGAGAGAGAGGGATACAAAAAAAGAGAAAGAACCGCCAGGAATGTGTTAAAATCTCGTTTTACGCTCGACAGGAGATTCTGAACCAAAATTACATATTAAAACCGTCGCAAATAATAAGCCGCTTAACGAAATCTCTCTTCGTAACGATCGTAAAATACACCGGGTTAGATTGCATCTTTTGAAAGATTCATTCGCGCGTAACGTCAAAAAAAGTTGTATACAGGACTTTTCGTTGAATTTGGAATGATTTCAATCAGCTTCTCCTCCGAGAGAAACGTATGTAATAATTTCACGAGACTAATTCATTTAACTCTCTGTTGGAAGATGCACGCGATGTATGTATCGTTTTACGCGGTAAAGTCAAATAAAAGAATGGAGAAATTATGAGTTATCGCAATATTCTTCCGATTAGCAATGAAAGGAAGAAATAGTTGCGAGAAATCTCGGTGCGGAAATTTATCCGAGCAAGAAGAGAGATACAGCAAGGCTCGCTGAAACGGCAATATCGCGTATTATTACGTTAACATGTACGTACGTAACGATTTCAGCTGTATTATATAACTTGATTAATCGCTCGAGTCTGGAATGAATGATGAAGTTACAAATTGTTATACATGTGTCACGCTGAAAGTCCGACATGTTACTACACGCGTTGATATTGCGTCGGCCGCTATTACGAGTTAAAGAGACGGTGGTTCTGGAACAACCCGTGGATCGATAGCTATCATTCAAGCGCGATCGATGCACCGTCATTTTCCGAGCGTATGATTCATTTCGCCGCTTCAATTCACGCGCGGTGCATATACTTTCTTTTTCGCGACATTTAAATTACAGGTAAGTCAAAGTTCGTGGGGAGAAGAAGAAGAGTGAAAAATATGACGCGTCCGACGTATAAACTCGCCGCGCCGCGTGGGCACTATATCAAGATCCCTGCAGAACGCGGACGACCGAGCTGGGTTATATTTTACACGCAATACTTCTATCTCGAGACCCGATCGACCGTATGAATTTTTCAAGGAGACGATTTTGACGTTCCTGGCGTCCCGTGTTTTCCGGCGAAAGAGACGATTACGTCGTTAATCATTCCCGCTAATGCGTAATGCGCGCGCGGCGAGATTGCGCTTTCTCGACGCGACCGAGCGAAATAACTTTCCGACGGATACGTGTGACGACTAATAACGTTAGATTCTACGAGGTAGTAATTGCGCTTATTTCATTATTGCACTTCTTCAAATGTCCCTTCCGCAAGGAAAAATCTCTCCTCCATTTTAATCAAACGTTTGAGGAGTCGTTGAAATTGAAGAATACGCATTTTTATCAGTTCGCTGAAACTCAAGAAGCGAGACCATTTCGCAACGTTTCATCGTTGAAATTCTATCTGGGAAAACTATGAAAGCTACCTTAAACACGAGGAGGAACTTTTCGAGCGAACGTTTCATAATGTTTCACGTAGAGTGCCACGCATATTATTTGAAAAACTGCGAATGTCAGCCACTCTCTCTCTTTCTCGCAATCTTTCCTTCATTGAATCGGAAAAGTTGGATTGTTTTATCCGTCATCCGAGTGCGGCGGAATTTCAAGCGAATTCCATCAGCGACCGCGAGAGAAGGCAGTAATTTCAGATCGGGGAGGAAAGAAACACCGTTCGTAGCCACGTGTTACCATCGCGTATGACTCGCTCGCGGCAGATAGCCGCGATTTAATTAAAACGTGCCACATCGCACTCGCAATTGTGCCAGACTGAAGAGGCGATACGCCTTGTCTTTCTTCATTCGACCTTACGCACGTACATACGACAGTTTGTTGGAAACTATTAATTCTCCCGATTCGAGCCGAATAGAATAATTAATATAACAATGTTCATTGTTTTAGACAGTATCGGTGAGTGTGAGCGTTTTGACGCTGACTTTCATATCGATCGACCGGTGGTACGCCATATGCTTCCCGCTGCGGTTCAAGTCAACAACCGGCCGTGCAAAAACAGCTATCATAATCATCTGGTTGATAGCGTTGCTCTTCGGTAATTAAAACGAAGAAAGTCTCAACGGAGAGACGGACGGTATTCGCAGTCCCATCTGAAAAGTCGTACGATTGGACTGTAAATACCACCCTCGGCCACAACTTTACCAATATATCTTTTCATCAGACATCCCGGATCTGCTGGTGTTGCACACAGTGCCGTCGAACAGTCGAGTGCAGACTATCCTATTCACGCAGTGCATCTGGTCCTGGAGTCAAGAAAGTCAAACTACCTTCACGATCGTCAAGTTGATCCTCCTGTATACCGGGCCGTTACTCTTCATGAGCGTGGCGTACTGGCAGATTGTACGCGTCCTTTGGAGAAGCGACATTCCCGGCCACAATCGTAAGGGAGAAACAATTATGTTCACACTCGCCCAAGTTGAAAATAAATTGTTCATTCTATGTATCACGTAACTTTCTTATTTCCCAAATTTTGCTCCTCACTGATTTTCACTAAAGTCGGTGTTTTTAATCTCTCGGAAACTTTTCTTTTTAAAGCTGATTCCCTATTTTCTTACATTTTCAAGAACGAAACTCATTTTGCTCACTATTGTTGACAGCTAAACCATGCCTGCGCATTTTCACTTTGTATATAGCCAATCGCGTGTATTCATTCAAATGAAACGAAAATATGAGAAGGAAGATGCATAATCGACTCCCTGAGAGCGGAGAACACATTCACTTTCAGTCCCGAAAGTCGATAAATTTAATTGAGTATACACAGGATTATTCTTACGCGGAATTATATACGTTTTCATACATATAGATAATATAGATAATATGCGTCCAAATGTTTTCGCAAGATTGTTTGCGATAACAAATCCAGTGAACGATTCCAATCGCGAAATCGAATCCATTATATTCAAATTATAAGCTGCTTATTTGGGAGGTCATATTAGTCCAGAGTTCTGAAACACAATACAGTTTCGATAATCCGGCTTAAACGGGAGAAATGATCGGATTATCGTCGAAAACGTAGCGCTTTACGGTAAACAACGGACCAATCGGGGCGAGGATTCCGATATGACTCAAAAAATGGTCGATACGCTGTTGTTTCTGACAACATTTTTCTTTTTTCATCGTGCGTTACAGTTTCCACTAGGGTGTGCCATTCAAACGAGGTTCCATTGTCCGGGGGTGGAAATCCGGAGGGTCAATTGAGATCACGACGGAAAGCGGCGAAGATGCTGGTCGCGGTGGTCCTCACTTTCGCAATATGTTTCTTTCCGGTTCATTTACTGTCTATTCTAAGGTAAACGATATTCGTAATTTTATAACGTCCACGCGTAAAGAAAAACATTTCGGCAACGATGAAAGTAACCGCTTCATCGGTGCGCGACACGAATCCATCTACATACAATTAACACGAATCTATTGTTTCAGGTCTACCATGATGCTACCGTCGAATCAATGGACAATCGCTGTTAGTCTGATCGCCCACTGGCTTTGTTACTTCAACAGTGCGGTGAATCCTGTCATCTATAATTTTATGAGCGGTAAGGATGCATCAACGTTAAATAACGCTGCACAGCGACATCGGAACGAGAAGATGAAAAGAAAGCATTTTACGTTGAAAGTGTGGCAAGACCTAAACAAAGAAAAGAAAATAATCGGTGCGTTCTCGCTGAAGAAAAATCGATTCGACCGGATTTATCTCGGAACGAATATCTCGTACGCGGGCTGATATTTCCCGAGCGCAGAGGTGTACAAGATTACCGAAGTGACTTCTATTAAAATGCATGACGCGTCGGAGGCACGCAGCCGTTGTTTCGTTGTAAAACTGGTCCGTACCTCACATCGAATTAGCTCTCCTGTGGCGGAACAACGGTTGCCAAAAATCGTCCATTCCTCTCTTCGGGAACTACGCCACGGAGTCCATTGGACTCTGGATGAGCTCTGGAATAACTCGCGCGCCGTCGTACGTACAAACTCTCAGATAATGAATCGAATCTCCAAGTCAATTAATCAGTCTGCGCGCACACTTATCTCGCGGTCGTCGTAGTACGATATAAGAAAGTAGCGCTCGACGGAAATTCCCGTTTAAAGATCGAGAATGTATTAGCGTTAAAGATCTGAGATCGAGTCATTAGTCGGACTATTCGCTCTACATTGCAGATAAGTTCCGGCGAGAGTTCCGTCGTAGTTTTCGAGAATGCGGTTCCCCGAGCAGGCGATACCCCGAGAATGCGGTTAGACTACCGGACGAAAGTACGAAAGGGTGTCGTACGAGCTTGCGACCGTTTTGACACGTGGCGAAACGAACGTCGCGGCCGACGAAAATACAACTCGAAAATACACCGAGCGTCGTGGCCGAAACAGCGTTCGCCGAGACGGGGACGGCAATCGGCACTCATTAGATCGATCGTGCTCGTATTTAGGGTGAGACACACGATAGTTATTGTTACTTTAGATGTTAGTTTTAGGACTCCTTATTCCCTCACAATTACGAGTTGACGCGAGCAGATAAGTCGTTCTTCTGATCAATCGACAGGAAGCGTTTGCAATTTTTTTTATTATAGCGAAGGGAAATTAGTTGATCGCGTGAAACATATTGATTAATTTATAAGCGTAAGAAGGAAGCAGGAAACTCCTCCTCGTGATACAATTTTCGTTTTTAGTAAAATCAACATATCGTTCGCTCTGGACGAGGTCACACAGCTATTTGTTCAAATTATATTAAATATATATATATATATATATATATATATATATATGTTCTTATTCCATCGTATTATACGTGATGCTAATAAATCTGTTGCAGGGAAATTTCGGAAGGAATTTAAGCGTACCTTTCGCTGTTCCCGCAACGGCAAAGCTTGCGCCCATAAACGTGGATACGTCACGAGTGTCTTGGATCCTCTTAAGCAGCGATCTCGGACTAACACAAGATCGATTAACACATTGTCCAATAATAATAACGTTCAACAGAGTACCGAGGTTATACCTCTCAGTGCTATAATCAGTATGCCGCAAAATGAAAAATTTGGATGAGTGCAAAACGGTTAAATGAAATTTCCTTTGTCGAATTGAGATGAACTCGACCCATACGACGCTATCTTTTATTCAATTGGCTTGTAAATATGCTATTACGAAACATTAGTCTGCACGATTGGATTTACTGCTTTACAAATATATTTTGCTTTATTATATCGCAGATATATAGATAATAGGTAATAAGAAGCATCACAGATCGATAATCAAAATTGTTAAATTAAACGCATAATAAAATTTAAAAGAAGCAAACGCAAAAGTGTAAATACAATTCCGTTCGTTTGGCGAAACTTTCAGTATGCCTTGCATGTCATTTGCAATGTAATATTTATTTTCTATGATACATTTGGACATGTCGATCAAAATATATCTACAAAGTTTAATAAAGTGTACGTAATTCTATATCTTAAAGTTATCATATAAAGTTGTCATATATATGATATTAGTTCTATAAACTGTACAATATATTATACTACAACGGATGACGTGTATTTTCGATTCGTTTTTGCTTAAATTTACACTTTATTGCGAAGAAGTTTCGTTCACATTCATATAAATTTCCTGCGTTGAAAGCTCATTTTCCATTTTATAGAATTTTGTTTTTTAAGGCTTTGTATGTGTGTACAATTTTGCCATTATTATATTCCTAGCTATAATGATTTTGGGAGTGAGTTGCAAAATAAATCGACCACGCTTCACCTGGACGCGTTCTCTCGCAATTTCTTAATTACGTTTGAAAATAATATATCATTCCGATGATTGAAGAGAGACTTGACGATACTCGATTCAGTACTTAGAGATACGTAATTTAGATAGCTTGAAAAAAGAGCAATGTATATTACTTATGACAAACAGCCAGTTTGTATTTAACAGACTTTGAATTTGTAAATATACAATGCTAGATATCATGTGACAAAAAATTTATAAACAAAAAATTAAATAGTAAATAGATATTAGATCTGTTCATTCCAGCTGTACTTCCCTTTCTCTCTTTCGTTAAGATGAATTAAGTTTCAAGTTTTATCTCTACAAAAAAAAAAAAAAAAAAACCGAAAGAAAAGTAGTGCAGAAATGCATACAAAACGCATAACAGATGGAAAGAACAGACATATCTTTAAATTAATGTATTTTTTGCTTTCGTTATTCTAATCGCGTACAGAAAATTATTCGTAAACACGTATAAAGATATATGCACATTTACGTTATATTCAATGAAATGTATTTCGTTTTAATATATTATAACTACAAACATTTCTGCACTGTGGGTAGTTGTAACATTGAAAAAGTATGTAGAGTTATATCGTGTGTCGCATGGCGGCCACGTAGCTGCCGAGTATATTACATTATTAGTACACAATAATAGTTTCCGCTAAATAGTGTGACCAGCTATAGTTTATGAAAAAGAAATCATAGTTATTCAATACAAGGCGATAATAACATCAGCGTTACAAGATTGGTATCTAGATTGTTTATCACTCGTATCGTAATAGAATTGTTTGGATATCGGTCTTTCGGAAAACTTATTCTTTTCTTTCTAAACAATTGTATGAATAGTCTCTTAAGGTTTTCCGATAGGTCACTGTAGCCATACTGGATCGCGATATCACAGTCGTATCTCGTGATATCGTAGCAAGCTTTTCTCCGATTATACCGAAGTAAATGAAAAAAATCCTGTTAATTATATAATTGATTATATAAAATTCTTAATAATTATTAATCGATGATCTTTCGTATATTTCTATCACGTAATCTACACATATCCTGCTTCGAGCATAAAGACAGAATAATTGATCCAATTTTGCAGCCACTTTTGTTCAATAATAAGCCTCGAGTGATTTCGTAGTGAGTAACTTTAATCTCGTATAAAAGAAAACATTTCACTACATATCTCACGTAAGCTCGCAAGTACCGCGAATTAAATGTAGTGAGAAGAGCATGTGCAAGATATTAATTAAATAAAATGTTTAACCAGAGTCTACATAAATCGTATTATCTTAAAATAAATAGCGCGCTAACATGGCTGCAGTGGCGGATCAGGATTCCTAAAGTTACAAGTCGTAATATACACGCATATCGGACACCTAATTAGTTTAATGCGCGGTATGTAATAGAAAGCATCGTCTTTTTTTTTTTAAGATTCGCCATTCTAATCGACTGTAAAATATTGTGCTATCGCACTCCCGCCGAATGCAACGTATATTGCGAATAGAGCGATATCCGATTAATAATTATTCCGAGTCCCTGATACTTCTATAGCAAAAACAATTGCATGCACATAGCAATTGCCAGAGTAAATATACGAATGTGGATATATGAATGAACAAGACGCATTCTCAGAGCAGTATTCCGCTACGCATCGCGAATGCAGTCCAGTATTGCATATTGTTTGCGATCTGCGAGAAGTCGGTGGAGAAACGACCGCGCAATGTATGAATACGAGAAGTGTATATAATAATTACACTCTTCTTAGGCTGCCGCTTTTTCGACAATGGTATTTTCGGCGATCGCGGACTCAATGTTACTTAATTCATTCTCCGCGGTGGTGGTTGCGGTGGTGGTAGCCAGTATTGCTGTATCTTTTTCATTGGAAGTTGCCTCCAGCAATTCTTTCACACTGACACTGTCGTCCACGTTATCCTTTTTAACGGATGATGCATCAAGCATTATGTGGGTATCGACATTAGTATTCTCGTCGACGTTTTCGTCGACATTCACTGTTCTAACTGTATCCGAAGGAATATTCGGGAATTCCTGATCTTTCAGCGTGCTCGGCTGCTCAACTTGCACACTGTCGAATTGTCCTGGCACAGATTTCTCGTCACTTCCTGCCACTGCATTACTCTTGGCTTCCTGCTCGGCCTGTTGCATGTTACCGGGTTGATTGCTTTGTTGGTATTGCTGAGCGCTCCTACCTCTTCCTCTGCCGCTCTGCTGATTATCAGGCGGCGGAAGAATAGGTATCGCCGCTTTCGGTCGTCGCATAGGAGCTGTTTGTTGTTGCTGCTGTTGCTGCTGCGCTGGACTATAATAAGTACACCCCTGCGGTTGAAACAGTTCTTGGGGCGGTGGTGGTCCTTGAGGCTGCAATAATCGAATGCGTGGTGTAAGATGTAATGTGCACAATGTATGCAAAATATCTCAAGAAAAACCAAAAAAATATTCGAACAACTCATCTGTTATTCTCACCTGTACCGAAGGATTATATCCCTGGTAACCTTGAAAATTCGGCGGGAATGTTGGACCATTTGGACCGGGTACATAATTAATTATACTAGGAGGTGCGGTTTGAGGAGGAATAAATTGAGGTGGCGGTACTAAAAAGGCCGGTGGCGCGTAACCAGCAGGCTGTCCGCTGGGCGGTAGAGAAATAACGGGTTGTCCCGCCATAGCTGTTGTGGCTGGAGCAACTGCGGAAGATTGCTCAAAGTGTCCTTGCGGGTAGCCTGGAAGGAACATGATGACTGACAAACAGTTTCGTAAAATAACGCGCTCGACACTATTTTAAATTAATCGATAAATTTGCATGTAAAAAATAGCTCCGTGGTGTCCGATTAATAAGCACTACTTCGCGTTCAGATTTCTCTTAAAGTCTTATGAGATTTTCTTTCCTACCTTGAGATTCTAGAACGGCTCTTGAATTTCCAGCTAGGTACGCGTACATACAAGTGGTTTATATTAATGTCAAATACATGCTCATATCGCTCACGTCAAGCCACATACCGTAAGAAATGATTTAGCGAATGGAAATAACGAGCGACAAAAAGTAAACCTAAGACGCCACGTATCATTACCTTGAGGTGAAAAGTACCCATGCTGTCCGTGTTGAGATGGATAATTCTGTTGGCCGGAAGTCTCCGAGATAGTAGTCCGCTGACGCTGACTAGAGTATCGCTTAGGTCTGTTCCCAGAACCGTCTTGTTGCTGTTGTACGGTCTGTTGTTGCGAGTGCGTTTGTTGCATCCTAGGTGGCACTGTGTTTGACCTGTGTTGGTTGGAGGACGCGAAGAAGCCTTCTGCGGATAAAAAGATAACCGTACGAATTATTTTGCAACATTTATGAAAGAAATCGAGAACTCACTGTTGTGTCTTGCGGTCTGGTGATACTGAGTACCATCGTTAACATTAAGTTGTTTCATATCGTGAACAAGTTGGTGCTCATCGTTTAGCTGCGCAGCAGTGTTGTTCCTTCTATTCTCAACGGCAATCGGACCGGAACCACGGCCTTTTGATTTATTCTCAACTATTCTGTTAGTGACCGTGTTGTTATTGGCATTGGACTTGAAACCTCTACCGCGTGTCCTCGTCGCGACCACGCTCACAGACTCTTGGCTATTTCTCTTGTTATTTTCTCTCGGTGATACTTTGTTATTAGCTAATTTCTCCGCGTCACCACCAGATCCGTTATTTCCATTTGCACTTTGAACCGAGTGCTTGCTATCTTTTTTCCATGCTGTATTGGTAGATCCATTTGGCGCTTTGCTCTCGCTCCTGTAATCAATTTTTAAAACCGTCTCATGGATGTCTTTTTTAAAATATCAGAGAGACAAATATCATGTGAATTGTTACACACGTGGACGTGTTGGAGGCAGCAGCAGGCTTGGATTTCGTATTATCCTGTGGGGATTGAAGAGGTGGGAAATTTTGCGCCTTATTTTGTGTCTTATTCTTGCTACTGTACCAAGCCGATGAAATTACAGGTTCTTCCACTTTAGCTGAAGAATTCTGTCGAAATTTAAAAAAGGAAAGAAATACATCAAACACTTGCAATGATTAACGATACCATGTATCTCTTGACACTCACTTTACTAGAACCAAGAGTAGGAAAATCTTCATTATTTTTTTGGAAACGTCTGTTACTTCCTCTACCAGGAGTAATGCCTGTTTTTCCATAGGCATCTTCGTCTTCCCAATTCCTTGTGTATTTGTTAGGCCCACGACTAAGGTAATATATAATTTATAAAACGCGTACATGACAAAATCAAGCTCAAATCTTGTCGACCAACTTACCCATATCTTCTTCTCCTTCTGGCCCTGGGTGGCCCTTCTTCGTTTCTTATATCATAACCGTATGTTGCTATTAATTCTTCAGATTTTTTCGGAGCTTGTTCTTCGTCATTGTATCGGTCATGATCCCACCTGTCTCCTTTATCCTTCCATACCTTTTTCTCCTTAGTTTCTTTCACATTTGTCTGGGCCTCTGTGTTATTGTCAGTTATTTCATCCGTTGTACGATCATCGTGCTCATAAAATGTTCCACGTTTTGGAATATATTGAGGATTACGTCTATCCTCATCATCGTCCAACTTCTTCTGTGGCTTTTCTTCCTCTTGACCATCACCACTTTCTCGTTGCTCCCCTCCATCTTGTGATTCAGCATCAGAGTCACTTTCATAAATATCGCACTCGGAATCTTGATGCCCATCGGTTTGTTCACTACTCTGTACATATTACGCAAGTTATAAGTTAATAAATGAAACAATATCCAGGACACTATAACATGCCAGAACATTCTAAAACACGCTAGAGTATGATAGGACATTATGAGTATAATAACACGTTTGCTATGATCGGCAGTAATAACACAAGATAACAATTGATTTCTGCCCACAGTCTTTCTTGTACTTTTCGCCGATAATGTTTTATATTTTTCTATCCATTGATCTTGTTATAAAATATTGTTTTAGTAAAGATTAAACGTCTTGTGAGTTTAAAGCAAAAAATATGCTTCTCTGTAAGTAATCCTCCGTCAGTTTGCTATTATGTTGTAGTATGTAAGCGTGAATTCTGGAACAGCAGCAGAGGTCATAATATTGCGTTTGAAATCAATCGCAAAATCGTCGATTGCAATTAAAATAAAGTGACCCGTCGGCCTACTTAACGCGATCTGTCCTCGATTGATTCCGCAATGCAAACGTGATGTAAACTTTCGTTGATCGCGCTGCACGCGAGATGCATGGCGAGCGAGAAATTCGAAACGCTGTACAACGTGGGGAATTAACGCATGCTTTTCCGAAAGATTCCCTGCTCTCAGGATAAACACTTTACCTGGGTCTCCTTTGTCACGTTCAATTCCTCATACGAGTCCGAGAGATCGTCGGACGACTGATTGGATTTCCGACGTCGTCGTGTATCCGACATATTACTGGGTGTCGAAGACACTAAACGTTTTTTTTTCTTCGATACTTCTGTTTAACGTCGAGATCGAACGAAGGGTACTGACCGTTGCGAGACGATAACTCGGGTTAAATCCTTCGTCGCGACTAACGCGTGTACGCACAACCTTACAAACCCAACATGACACAACCGACAGGAAAACTCTGAATGCCTGAATCACCGAACTCGTTTCCACTGCACCTCAATCTTGCTGAGACGACCTCTCGTAACGGAAACTCGAAGCTTTACCAAAGTTTTCTAAACGGCTGCTTCCGTCGGGAAACGGAGAAGCCGGAAAAATTAAAATTTTAGGATGGAACAGAATGAAAAGTTGAAAGAATATTGCATCATGAATTCGACGATACGAGAAGATTTAACCTTTGGCTACATTGGGTGAATCAATAAGACTGATCGTCTAATCGGCAGCGATAACACAAGATAACAATTGATTTCTGTCCACAGAGCCTTTCTTGTGCTTTTCGCTGATAATGTTTTATATTTTTCTATCCATTGATTTTTTTATAAAATATCGTTTTATTAAAGATTAAACGTCTTGCGAGTTTAAAGCAAAAATATGCTTCTCTGTAAGTAATCCTCCGTCAGTTTAAAAATATTATGGCATGACTTGTCGAATTTAGTGATAAAATTTAACTAGCTGTAATTGCCGCAAAATGCTAATAAGGCGATTTGAGACATTTTTATTGATTGAAGTCTCTAGTTTCGACATAGATTTTCCGATATAACGTTTTTTTTAGCCGAACTGTTGAACTGATGCAATAAGTTGAAGTGAGAAAACATATACTTGTCTCGCTTCAACTTATTGAACTAGTTCAGCGGTGCAGCTAAAAAGAACAGACCACGTTTATTTGTTCTTTTTACGATGTTACATAGATATAAAACAAAATCAAATGTCACAATTCTTTATGAAGTTTATTAAGGTACACCGCGCATAAAATAAATGTCACAGACGATTGAGGTTTATGTCATTTGAAAGAGTGAACTTTCCTCTTTAATTACACACAGATAGCGGTGCGATTCTTTTTTTACCGAGTTCTTGAATATCAAAAAAAAAATATCCTTTTGGCTTCAAAAAAAGCGAATAAATCTATTTGAAGTTGCAAACACTTTGAAGCGCTTAAAGAAAGAATATGATTGGTCTATACGATGCTTCGAAACATTTACAGTGAGAAGTGGATTCTATTCACAACTGTCCTGCGACCGCATTGTAGACGAGGCTTGAGGCCTCGTTTATAATCTTGCTTTTATCGTAGTTCCTGTCTACAATAGCTGTTTTATGCCGATATTCATAATTGGGCCTTATATTTAAGACCGTTTTAAGTTTATTTTCAGATACTCCATAACCAATGAAATGATCCGCACAGCATTTATAGACGATCTTACACATAAGATTCGACTATGAATATCGGCCTTAAATTATAAGCTTTAAAAAATTAAGATTATCTGATCTAAGCTTAAAAACTTGACCAATCACAATCGAATGTAATGAGAATAATCGACTGTGATTGGCCAACTTTTTAAGTCTTAAGGCTATTGTAAATCGCTATTGTAGATTGGGACGCAGCCGCGAGGTTCAACTTTGACAATTAATGTCAAAAATTAAATTGAACAAAACTTTCAAACATGGGTCAAATTTTTAAATGTATTTTTACCGTATTAAAGACGCGAGACAATCGGTTAATGTTCTCCATAATGCGTTTACCGATTGTCATGAAATTTAATGTACTAAAATTATATTGAAAAATATTTGCCTCATATTCAAGTTTCTAATTTGTCTCAGTTTTTGAGATATTAATTATTAAAATTTCATTTGGCGTTCAACGGACTACTTGATGCCATCTAACGGTGTCAAATAGGAACTACTTGTCGAAAGGGTTTGAGTCTCGGATAAGTATTTAATAAAATTAAAGGATAAATGTTGGTTTGTGGTTCGGACGTCGGATTTTAATTCCAATCTCTCCGCTACGTGTCTCTACCGTACTTACCGAAGAGTTGAAGTCGAGAGAAAAATAAACCTAAAACAAACTATAACCATGTGTTTTTCAAGAATACTCTTTATTTAAGACGATTCTTTAAAACTGCTGTAAATTAAATCTATTATATAGTTAAAAATATTTATTTGAAATTTATTCGAATGTGATATACGAGAGAATCTGTCATTTACGTCAGGAAGGAAGAAACTAGTGAAGATACTTCCATATTTATGAGAGACTGTAAAGGTCTGTACTATATTTAAAATATAGTAATCATATGTAATATCGTTCCTTAATGGATATAAACATTACCGGTATTATGTATAACCTTTATTCAAGTTATCACTTCGTTCATAAATGTCATGATGATACTTTAATACTCCGTTTTTCTCTTTTTTTAAAAGGAAATTTTTAGCTTTCTCGTTTCATAACATTTTATATCGATTCGTTCGTCTTTCTATAAACGATCAAAACCAAGAGGGTATTTTTATTTTAACACTCAATAACCCGATGAAAAGTCGCACCGCAATCTGCGAACATGCAAATTAAAGGGAAATATGTGAATCACGTTTTCAAATGACACAAACCTCATTCATATGTGACATTTTTTTACGCGATGTACCTGAGTAAACTTCATGAAGAATTTTGATATTTGACGTATTCGTCATTTATATTCATGCAACACTGTAAAACATGGGTAAACTTTATATGTGACAATTTCTCTCAAAGCTAGGGACCGTGATTTTTAAAATGCTTTTTGAAATACCTCATTAACATTATTTTTGCGGAAGTTACAACTTGTTGAATTTTATCTACTTTTCATGATCAAAGAAAGTGATCCTTTAATTTTATTTTACTTTTATACTTGTGTAGATTTTATAAGATATTAATATAGTATAATTCATACATGTTTTTGCTGGAAGGTAAAAAACAAGGACAGATAGATTTCTTTGTCGAGAACAATCGAGTCCATGAAATGTATGTGCATGTCTCAAGTATCGCAACTATAGCTGCGACAATCGATGGCAAAGTAAAACCGTCGTCTGGTAAAAAATTTTTTGTTATATTGCTAATGATAAATTAGCGACAAAAAATATTACTATATGCCACGTTGGCGCGAAACGTTTTGCTATATCCGAGAGAGATTTTTATGATCGAGGCGATTTTTACCAGACGCTTCAATTAGAAACAAAATCATTGATGACTCGGCATAGAGTCGCGACGATAACGCGACTGTCATCTTTCGCATTAGTTCCGGGACCTTAGTGTTTTATCAATCGATATCAGTTATTGCACAAACAGCGTCGCGACAAAAATTCTATTTTAAAGGGTCAATTGCGAGCGATATTAGCCGCCGATAACATTTCACATATGACCGATGGTTCATGAAAAGAATCACTCCATTACATACCGGACTGTCATGAGAAAAATGTCGTGTTGTGTCTTTGATAGCCGGATCCTGAGTTGCAATACCGGATTAGACACGAAAATTGCTCGTGTATTTGCGATAATTTGCGTATCAGACGCTTTTCGACCCATGTCGTATCGTCGGCTCAATAATGTCGTTTTGGTATGTCGTTGGGAAGCCATTATTTTTCATTCCATTGTTCCGTAAACAAAAAGAAAAGTCGCGAGAGAATTGTGAAGAGATTCCGAATTGGTACGATGCAATAATGTATGCGCGACTAATTTAAGGAATTTTTATATCTATGTACTATTGTTTGCTTTATAAGCAGGAGATAAGGAAGAGATATCGAATTTGCTTCATTGTAAAAAGCTCATTATCGTTGGATTTGTGTCACGAATACAATGAAATCAGTGAGATTTCGGAGCATATTATTTTTATTAAAGCGGAAATGTATATCGACCTTTTCCGATCTTCATTAAGCTCAACTTCAATATTCATTCTTCTCCTTTGTTTTGTTTTTTTACAAATATAATATAATAACCGATCGCATAGATGCAACGTTCTGCGATAATATTTTGTATTCAGTGATGGAAAATTCTTAAGTCCGCATCGAACTTTGAGATTGCATTTAAATGACGACGATAAATCATAACATCAAGAAAACACTGTTTTCGTTGCATATATTCTGTAATACCAATTACGTCGCAGACGTTCATAGTACAACGGAACGTTGGTTGTACTTACCTGTCTAGCACAGATCCTGCGTCAGTGAGCAAAAAATCTTTCTACTACGTAACGAACGTTCCGCGAATGACCGTTCCTATGTCGTTGATTTATTCCGATAACTTTTGATCCTGGCGCGAGCGCTCACCTAGAAATTGTAACAATGATCGTGCGTTGCGAGGAAAAACATTATTTTCACATATTATTATGTTCCTTCGAGCAGAATTTTTCAACGAACGAAATTCGATCGTGCGGTCGATTCTCTGCGCTTCTTCCGCATTTTCAACTTTCGACATGATCGAGTCATCATGACCGATGAAAAAGCCATCGGTACGTCGCGTGCGTTTCATCTCGTGGCGGATTAATTACAAGTACGTGACTCGCGCGTTTGATCAGCGCGCACGAACGCGACTACTCGTGTTTCTCTCTCTCTGTCTTCCAGGTTGTCGGGATCGGAAAGTCATTGTTTTGTTTCAAACTACGTCAGAGAACGCGACGGAATTGTCATTATTTGTTTTTCTCCTTTCGTTGTTGAAAAATCAACAGACCGGTTCGGAAATTCGTCACTAGTAGCTACCTTAGATGAAAACCGGATATTCTCGTTTCTTCCCAACAACGCGAACTCTCACCCGCCGGACGTATATTTTTCTCTCTCTCCGAAGGGCAAGAATCCCTTCGGGGATTCACGGGAGAGAATTTACGAGAGCTGTCGATATATTTCAGGTGTAATTCGCGCAGTCGAGAGGGAGTATGCCAAAAAAAAAAAAAGAAAAAAAATAGAAAAGAAAGAAATCCCAATCGCTGAAACTTTGAACTTTTCGTATCGTTCACCGCGATACTCGGCCGCAAAAATTCCGTCGGATTACTCGTATCGAGTCGAAACATTGCGACGCGAGCTCAGTGGCCTATTGACACGCGACGCGATATTCTGGGTTTGAAACAATAATAATAATAATAATATCGGGGTTTTGAAAGTAAACGCAATCATTCGAACGAGGTGCAATGCACGAGAAAACAATAACACGCACTTTATCGCCCGCAGACTTTGACCTCTGAGAAAGTGTGCGCCGACACTTATCTTCGG